GGAGGTTTCTGGGCGTATGCTTCATTTTGGCCGTTAAAAAAAAATATTATTAAATTATTTTATTTTATTATTTTTTTTTTTAATTTTACGAGTCCTTAACGGCTGGTCATTGCAACGTTTTTAGCTCTCGAAAATGTTGCAAGTTTTTCAAAATTCCTAAGCATCTTCGTTGTGCTTTAACGGTGTACAAAACTACATATTTTCGTATGTTTACTATTTTTATGCTCATTTCATTAATTAAGTTAAATATTTCTATGTAAATATGTACTAACAAATGCATGTTCATTATATTCTCAGCTTACATATATACAATGTATATATATTTACATATATATATATATATTTATATAAATATTTTTTTCCAGCTTTTCAAAACATTTCTACAATTTCAATATCATAAATGTGTCTCTTTGAATATCGTATTTAGCTGCACTGTACACATACATACACAAGCATGTAGCTTTATAATATGTGTAATATATCAATATTTTATTATTATTATTATTTGTTGTTTAACTTTATAATATGCTACAAGCCTAAATACATACAAACAAATGTACATATTTGAAACTATACATATGTAACTAAATACATACTTACCAGTAATTAGACGCAGACGCTTAAAGAAAAGGGTTTCCGTTGACCACAAACGACATTTGTAAAAAGTAGTGAAATTTCTAAAATAGTAGTAATTACATTTTACGCAGTGCGGCACGCGCCAAAACACGAGAGCGTTAACTGCTTGGAATGGGAGAGAAACACTTCGCCTTAGCTTCATTTTTTACCGGAAGCATATTCTCCGCCTTCTGGGTAGTTTGCGATTATGAGAGGGAAACTTCAACAATTGTATGCTCTAATAGAGAAGGTATTCTTTATTTAGTTCTACAATTCGTCTTAATTTCGCCAGCATTAGATTGCAGCAGTCACACGAAAGGGTATCAGTTTTTCAGGGAACTCGGTTGGGACTACAGGATATTGAACCGTGTGGTATTGGTAAGGGATTGTATGCCTAAAATGGCGTTTCTCATTTGCGAGACATCGAAAAATGGCTCTAAAATCGGTAAAGAGCAAGTCAAGCCCTGTGAGGGATATTCCTTTCTTAGCTTTCCAAATTCCCAAATCATTTAATGTGTGTCTGCAAGACAATCGAAGTTGAACTTACCAAGAAAACGATATTGGACGGAATGGGGGGCTGGGGAGTGGCAGAGAAATTCGCCAACGTTTTTGCCTTCCATTAATGTCCCTGCGGTTGGAACAAAAGACATTTGAGATGCCGTCCAATCTTCTACCATACCGGTTGTTATGCTTAGGGAGGTCCCGTTTAGAAGGATTATAGGCAAAATTTTGTTTGGTCAAATTGCTAGTGGTTTCACTTTGAAATCAGCTATTGGACCTTCTGAAAAAGAAACTCAGTCGGTAGACTACTCGCCCCTACCGAATAGTTGTTCTACAAGCGTTCAATTACTGTTGATTGGAGGTCTATATTGTCCGATGAACCCCTACATGAACATAGTATGTTCGCTGGAAGCCGATCTCTTTGTTTACCATATGATTATACTCCAATTCGAAAACCTTTTATAGATATCTGCAGTTTCTCATAGAAAGCCTATAGCTTCTCTTAAATCTGCACGTAGAAAACTTGAGATGGCGTCCCGAGGTGCTAAGATCCTGAAGCATTAAGCATTGTGGTGTGAGCAGAGCTCATTAGTTGTGTTCCATAGAAGATAAATTTAGCGACATTGGCCTTTTCATCCTTCGAAGCGGTCCTTGTCCAATGCGATGAGTACTAATATTCGGCCACAAAAGTTGTCTACCAAAAAAAAAACCGGGACAACTTTTTCTAAACGAAAAATGACAATGATTAGTGTTATCGATTATGAAATTTTATCGATTATAAAATTATATCGATTACTAAATTTTATCGATTATGAAATTTTATCGATTATGAAATTATATCGATTGTGAAATGTTATCGATAATTTTTTATGAGTATGAGCGTGTCAAACATCTCTGTCTGCTAGTTATGGTAAACTTTGTTAAATATCAAACTACAATTACATACAAACGAGTATACATATACATACTTACATATAAATTAATATAGATACATACATACACACGTTGAAATTAGATTCATATTAATGCGGACATTAGAATTTCATTCAATTTAACAGACACTTGAATTTAAATTCAAGCAAGCACCTGCATATCTACACACATAAATATATATATATTTATGTATGTATCATAAATTGATGTATGTTCGTGTATTAGTGTACGACTAGTGTAATCATTACAATAATGCACGTCCATGTTTTTTGTTCAAAGACATTTTTCTAAGATTAATTTTGTGTTACATATATACAAACACACACACACATAGATACGTGAGTGCATACATATATGTAAAATATAAGAAAACTTACAATATATATGTACGATTAAACGTTAAAATCTTAGTTTTCAACAAGAAAAATGTCATTGTTTTACACGTAGTAGTGATAATTTAGACCCATTTAACTAACAGAGTTGCCATACGAACGTATAGGGGTACACTTTTCTTTTGACCATACTACGCAGATGTTTGATGATTTAGTGTTGTCTTGCCACATTAATCTGAGCTTTTAAACAGCATATAAATGTGTGTGTTATATTTACATGCATGCATGTATGTATGTATGTATGTTTGTATGAGGGCACTTTCCATGATATACATATACCTACATACAGATGTATGTATGTGCAAAAGTATAACACACACATTAGTACCGTTTCTAGGCTGGATAATGTTGCTTCGATCAACAAACTTCTTTAATGCGAATTTCATTAAATTTCTTCGAAAAATAATATAAAAGTAAAAAAGAAAAATGGTAAGGTAAAATAATTAACACTTTTCTATGAGCAACAGGTAACTTTTGAATATCCATGCTATATAACTTCCAACGTAAATACATACAAACATAAATATGTTAGTTATTATTTGTAGTGCATTTAATTTCGATTGCAAAATTTCCCCTCTTTATTGTTAAGTGTTTGGTGAATAGGAAATCTATTAAGGGAATTTCTCTTGTATATAAATATAAAAAAAAATATATACATATATAAATGTATGTATAATAATGGTGACAAAATGTCGATTTCAGTTAATTGAATTTAATTCAATTTATTTTTTATTCGATTTTTTTTTATTTCAATTAATTTTCTTTAATTAATATTAATTTATTTTATTTTATTTTATTTTAATTTTTGTTATTTGATTTATTTTTATTTTATTTAGTTACATTATAATTTATTTTATTTTACTTTACGTTATTTCATCTTAATTCAATTTTTATTCTATTTTATTTTGTTTTTTTTATATGACTTTATGTTATTTTTTTTATACTTTATATCATTTTATTTTTTTTTTTAATATTTTAACTTATTTTGCTGCGTTTTATTTAATTTTAATTTGTATTATTTTAATTTACTCTATTTTTTCTGTTTTACTTTATTTTCTTTTATTTTTAAATTTAATTTATTTTTTATAAATTTTTTTTATTTTATTTAATTCTTTTTATTCTACTTCATTTTATATTATTATCCTATGTTATTTTATTTTGCATTTCTTTTTTCCTTATTTGGTATAGTTTACGAATTTTTATTTTATTTCACTTTATTTAATTTTATTTTTTTTTATTTAATTTAATTTTATTTTATTTTATTTTATTTTATTTTATTTTATTTTATTTTATTTTATTTTATTTTATTTTATTTTATTTTATTTTATTTTATTTTATTTTATTTTATTTTATTTTATTTTATTTTATTTTATTTTATTTTATTTTATTTTATTTTATTTTATTTTATTTTATTTTATTTTATTTTATTTTATTTTATTTTATTTTATTTTATTTTATTTTATTTTATTTTATTTTATTTTATTTTATTTTATTTTATTTTATTTTATTTTATTTTATTTTATTTTATTTTATTTTATTTTATTTTATTTTATTTTATTTTATTTTATTTTATTTTATTTTATTTTATTTTATTTTATTTTATTTTATTTTATTTTATTTTATTTTATTTTATTTTATTTTATTTTATTTTATTTTATTTTATTTTATTTTATTTTATTTTATTTTATTTTATTTTATTTTATTTTATTTTATTTTATTTTATTTTATTTTATTTTATTTTATTTTATTTNAGTTTTTTTTTTTTTTTTTGAATTAACAAATTACGACAAAGGACCATTGCAAGACGACGCTATTTTTGCTCCTTTTGTATGTTTGTACTATCGATTTTTTTAAATCAATTTCTACTTATAAATAATAAATATTTTATAATTTTTTAAATGTGCGTATGTAAGAGCGGAAAGTAGCTTCTAATGTCACTAAAACTAATCCAATATAAGTATTTATTAAGATGTGCTGCTGTATTTTTTTAAATATCTTTTTTTTTAATCCTACCTAACATTAACTTTCACTGCTTCAGCTTTTTCTTTTTCAAACACAAAAATATAATTTTCTTATTTTTTCTAATATTTCCTATGAAAACCTTCTCATTTTTCTTGTAAATGTTTATAATTTGGCCTAAAATTCAACATGGACACAAACTCTGCAAAAAAAAAAAGTGCAAACAAAAAACTGCAACAAAAAAAGTTTCCTTTTATAATAAAAATAAAATGCAAATCATAATTTTTTTCGCAATATTAGGAATTAAATTTACTTAAATCGGCGACAAACAAAATTCTGCGTTAGCAAATGCCCACTATTCGTTTCATGAATATTTAATTACACACGATATTTTTATTTATTTTTTTGTTTAATAATTTTCCTACAATTTATTTACACTTTTCTATACATAAGCGCTGTTCATATAAGAAGAAGCATATTTTTCTTAACGAAACTCTTTTCTCTCTCTTTGATACTAACCGGTCTTATTTTCGCATACTTTACATAAAACCGTTACAAAATCTTGCAACAACACAACGAAAAACAAAAAAAAAAAACCAGATCCGATATGATGACGAGGACGAGGATGAAGGTCCACAACCGGATCCTACACTTGAACAGGGCGTGCCGATACCTGTTCGATTGCAGGGCAGCTTCCCGCCGGAACTGGCCTCTACTCCTCTCGAGGATATTGACCCTTTCTATAACAATATACTGGTAATTGTGCGAAAAAAAAATATTTATAAATATTTTAATATGAATTTTAATTATTTTTTTTGTTTTTTGTTTGTGTTTTTTTTTTTTTTTTTGAATATTTTCCTTGCAGACATTTGTAGTTGTAAGTAAGGGAAAAGACATTTTTCGCTTTTCTGCATCCAAAGCAATGTGGTTGCTCGATCCGTTCAATCCCATACGTCGCGTAGCCATTTATATTTTAGTACATCCGTTATTTTCGTTGTTTATCATTACAACTATTCTGGTTAACTGTATTCTGATGATCATGCCCACGACACCGACAGTTGAGTCCACTGAGTAAGTATAGCTTTTTCAGTAAGTTAAACGTTTTTATTAAAAAACAACAAAAAAATTGAAAAATAAATACAAAAAAAAAAATTAAGAAAAACAAAAAAAAAATACAAAAAACTAAACAAAATGAGTGTATGTATGTGCATAAATACTAAAGTAGTATTTACATATATATTTACTATATACTAAATATATACATTATATTTTTATAGAGACATAGTATATACATATATAATGACTTTGGCGTAAATCTCACACAAGAGTGCGCTGTAATAAATTTAATTCTCTGTATTTGTTTTTTTTTTTTTTTTGCTAAATATTTATTAAAAAAACAATAAACTATTACATATTGGCGCGTCAAATTGAAATTTACTTACTTACATACATATATGTATTTATGTATAGCTATAAATAATATTCATCATTTAAGCCACAAGCAATTGAACTTAGTTAATTTATTTTAAACCAATGTAGTGTTAATATTTTTCCATTTAAGGAAAATTACATACATACAAATGTAGTTGGTATGTAGCTTGTAAGCGTTGGTTCAGTAAATGTTCAAAAATATACATATACTCGTATGTACAAGTACAAGTACAAGTTTGCTTATATAAGAGTTTGTAAATATTATATATTTTTCCCTATTATAATTTTTTAGTATTACAACAATCTAATTGCTTTCATATATAGTGTACTAGTAAACGAGGGTTGCTGCTTAAGTGCCAAAATTTATAATAGAAATTCATTTATTTTCTTAAAAATAAAAATTAACCAAAAAAAAATTGATTCGTAACAAAATTCATAAAAAAAATATGTGACAAAAATTAGTGAAAGATTTTTTTTCATAAAAATATTTCAATTTTGCACACTTCGATTCATTTACGGTAATTTTCGACCACTTTTTGGCACATATTGAGCGGTAGCTCAACCATAACTTGACGAATGTTGATTTCAAAGTGCTCAAACCTTAAATGTTTATCCGCATAAAAATGGTCTTTCGCGTAGCCACACAAAAAACAAGTCGAACGATGTCAAATCGTTGCCCATATGGCATCGCCAAGACGAGAGTTTACCCGTCCGTCAGTTTTCTCTCGCAGAAAAGTCATATTCGATCGTATTGTGTGATGTATGTGGTATCATCCGCTTGAACCAAATATTCTTCGAATCGTGTTCTTCTTTTGTAGGCCAAACCGTACGTATTATCCCCTCTTCCTCCGAGTGAGAAATGTGCCTCGTCGCAGTAAAAAAATTTTTGTTCGAAAAATCAGCTTCCACAAAAATCTATGGACGTGTGTACTGCATTGTGAAGGGTCAGCTTATTTCAGTTGTTGTGTGAGCTGGACTCCATATGGATATAGGTGTGAAGTTCAAGACGCGAGTCCATTTGAATCGCCGATACCGGAAATCCCCTAAACAAGGATCTCAGTTGACTAATTCGACAATATATTAAAACACATAAGCGGAAAAGATGGGAGGAGCTCGTTAGATCCTGCAACTTCTTGTCTGGAGCAACCAAGCTCTGAGCCACGCTTAATTCACTGCCAAGCCCGACGAGACGCGATGCCCGAGTGCAAAGTTTATACGGTGACCGCGTCTCGTCGGATCGGAAGAGGTGCGCGAGCTATAGCCCGGCAAATGAAGCGACAAGTGAGCCCGCGTCTGCGCAAACTGGCGAACAGAGCGACGCTTGATTTCTTTGAGGAAAAGGTTCAGTTGGTCATTGGAAAGTTGAAAGCGTCCAAATCTATCGGCACTGACGGAATAAGCATGCTGTTTCTAAAATATCGAGGGCCAGCGGGAGCTGATTTGCTCACTAAAGCTCTCAATCGGTCTTCGAGGACCCTAAAAATACTCGACATGTAGAAAATGGGTAGGGTGGTCTCCCTACTCAATCCGGGGCAACCAGCCAATAAAGGACAGTCCTATCGGCCAATATCTCTTTTCTCTCCAATAGTGAAGAATTTCAGGCTGTACTGCTCGCGACCTTCACACACACCATCTGAGTCCAGCAGCTCATCAGCAAGGCTTCGGTTTATGTTTTACATCTCGAAACTCCCTGCTCCACCAGTATAGCATTGTCCTCATCTCGATGATTGCTCCATATTGACGTCTGACCAGGATATTGACGATCCTTTTTGGGTGCTGGGGACAAGAGAGACGTAGTCGGAGAAGTTTCAAACCTGCCAAAACGTCGCCCTCAGAACCGTGAGAGGAAACCCTCTGATCGCGCCAGAGCACCATTTGCACAGCGAAGCAACTATGTTACGAGTTGAGGAGCATAAAGCTCTGCAGTGGAAGGCATTTCTGCTAAGATGCTACCACAGGGAACAACCCAACAGACATTTATTAGAAGCTGAACCCCAACCCAGACACATCAGAAAGTGAGTACTCGATTTAAAGGACTGTATACAGCAACATCTACAACAACCGCTGGACAGGACTGCGTACAGTCAAGCACTAAACGCCATTCATCAAGTTTCCGTCAACACTCACATGAACTCATTAACTGTGCATGTCGTTCTCGGAGTCACTATCTATGGCAAACCAAGTACTCGTGCTGCCTTGAGAGTTCGACGTAATACTAACCCAACTCAGATCTGTATATTGTAGCAGGTTAAACTCTTACATATCAAGGCTCGGTCCCGAGTTACACGTTATACTGGCCCAACTCAGATCTGTATATTGTAGCAGGTTAAACTCTTACGTATTCAGACTCGAACCCGAGTCACACGTAATACTGGCCCAACTCAGATCTATATATTGTAGCAAGTTAAACTCTTACGTGTCCAGGCTGGACCCCGGCGTACCTATCGTATGTTCTGCATGAAACGAGTTTTCGCGCAACATTACCAACCTCTTTTCTGGCCTCTTAAAACCAATTCATCTAACTTTTAACCTGGCTATGGACCGAACCGAACCCGTCAAAACAGCTCGTTTCCTGGACCTCCAGTTCGATAACCTCGATGACTTCGACTCAACTAGCTTTTTCATACCAACGCCGCGTTTCGCTACTACAACAACAACAATAACAGCAGCAAAATTTGTGGTTTGACAGTTGAGTTTGTTAGATGTCAAAATACAACCCTGTCCTTTTGAATCTCGCTAAATTTAATTCCATTTAAAAATATTTACGTTGCAGCCCTCGTACACATAATTAATAGTTAATTAGCAAAACATAAGCCAAATAGTTTGAAATTGAATTTAAACAAAAAATTAGTTTCTAATTTTATATAAATAAATCATTAGTACAAGTATATAATGTTAATTCCAAATATATATATATATATAATATGTAATTAGTAATTTTTATTATAATTATTTACAATTAGTAAAACCAAACGTACAAATGTATAAATTTCGCCAACTACATACACACATACATATTGACGGCGAATTTTTAGAAAAGAGATTTTTGTTGTTGTTGTTTTCTAGATTTCATAGACAAAAAAGGAAATTTACTTTGCAAAATAAATTATGATTTCAACTGTAATGTAATAATGTATGTAAAACATATTAGCCCTTAGCAAATCGTTTGACTGATCATCACACACACAGCGCTCATTGAAATCCAGCCAGTGAATTTGGCATTTTTGTATATAAATACTTTTCAATAGAAAATTAAAAGCAAATGCAAAAAAAAAAAAAATATGTAAAGAGCCATATAAAGATGCATACAAATCATACTCGTACATACATACATATTTACTAAGCTACAAACACATTTGTACTCAGATTTAACGAGAATTGTATGAGAGTTAGTTTAGAGCGTAAAAGCGCCACAATGCTACATTGTAATAAGTAGCCATCCATCCTTATGTAAATACATATATGCTATTTATTGCTTTTAATATATTTACATATATTTTACAAATATATATCAAAAATGCAGTGGAATATCGATTGCTTGACAGTTCGATACTCGCGTGATACTAGTTCGATACTCGCGCGATACTCGTTCGATACTCGTTCGTTGCTCAGCTGGTTTTTTTTTTTTTTTTTTTGAAATAATTTCATTTTCAATTTTATTTGTTATTTTATTTGTAATTTCTTTAACATTTCGAAGACATTTTCACTTTGCATAAGTAAATTTGAAATTATCGAAAAATATTCTGAGAGAAAAGTCAAAAGTTTTGCTCAAAATGCACGAACTACTCGAGCTCGTACTCGAAAATTTCCAAGGGATGAGCAATAAGCAATGAAAGAGTATGCGAGTGTGCGAGTATTGGTTATTAGAAATGCTCGAGCATAAACTTGAGCTCTAGTATGAATGTACATATGTACTAAAGCAGAAGTGAACTAGTGAAAAACTACTTTGACTAACGGTTTTTTTTCCCCACTTCATACAATAAAATGTGTTCTTCTGTTCGTCCTGTAAAAATGCTAAAATTTGTTCAAAAGCATACTAGTCCCATACTAGTTTAGAAAATAACTAGTTACGTTTTTATTAAACGAAAGTAGGCGACTAATGGTTTTTTCCCCCACTTCATACAATTAAATGTGTTTTTCTGTTCTTCCTGCAAAAATGCTAAAATTTTGTTCAAAAGCATACTAGTCCCATACTAGTTTAGAAAATAACTAGTTACGTTTTTATTCTTCTTCTTCATTGGAATAGGCACGACTTGCGCGATAATAGCCGATTATGATTACAAAACATTTTTTAATTATAAAACTGAATTCCTTAAACTTTTCACGTATTGCCATACGGAAGACTTCTGGTCCGATCGGTAAGGAATGTAAAATACTCCCTCCATTTGATGGCAAAAGATCAGAACCGCAAATTGAAGGAGAAGGAGAGTGCATTCCTTTCATCGTAACTGTTGCTCTCCCCACATTTTCGAAAGCGACAATAATGACCCCGCCGGACCATAAACAGCATCAAACAGTTACACATTGAGAATGGAGAATCTTTTCAAGAATAAATCTTGGGTTTTCAAAGTCACAGATGAGACAATATAAGACATAATCAGTCAAGATGATTCTTTGTTGATTTTTCCTATGATTTTCATGCATTTCAAGAACCCAAACAGTGGAGACACGATGTTGTTGATGGTCGGCCGGCTTGAGTTTTCATTTTGACTGAACTGTAGAAGCCTTAGGAGACAAGTCTTTATGCAGATTGCGGTGTAATGAAGTTTGTGGAATAAAGTCCAATTCCAAAGAACGACGGGCAGATGGACAAATCTGGGTGTTCTTCAAACACTTTGGACTAGAGCAGCACACTTTTGGCTACAGTTGTTCTTGAGCGACCACTACGACGTGTTTTATTCTTCACACCACCAACTTGTGCCGACAGCTCCATTTCCACCAATCAAAAATTTCTGTATTTGGGACCAATAAGGTGCTACCGGATGTTCAACCGATAAATATTTTAGTTTTACGAACCGTCTCTGACAGGTTTTCCGGATTTTTATAGTAAAATTTAACAACTTCAAAGCATTGTTGCAGCGTTTATCGTTTCATTTTTATTCTTAACTCAGTCTTTACTTGTCAAATGTCAAAAAATTACAGCTACAAAAGCGACATCTACCGTCAAAGCGGGTTTTTCAAAATGACACCTCTCGCTGGAAAACCCTACACAATCAAAATGACGTTTAATGACAGTTCAAATAAATCTGTAAAGTGCTGCCCAACAACTATTAAACTTGCCATTGGTGGTATTCACAAACTCCAAAAGGTCTGCATTACTTCGAAAACTTTTTTCATTTTCTATAAAATGTCAACTTTTGCCACTGAAGTATGAAATATGATGAAAAATTCGTTTGTCTTTAATAAAAATATGGGCAGTGAATTTTTTTTTTTTTTTTTTTTTGTTTTTTAGAAAATAAATTTGCTTTAAATACAATACTATCGACATTCCACTGTACTCTAGCTAACAATAAATAAATAAATTATTAACTAAACATTGACATACAAACATTTGTATTATTGAAAAAATCTCAGTAGTTGTAAATTTCGCCATAATTTTTAAAGTAGTGTGCTAAAGATACAAAAAAAAAATGAAATTGTACAGTTTGAGAGCCACAAAAAAAACCACGAAACCAAATTGTAGCTAAACCAATGTAAAGAAATTTGTAATTATATTATATTAGTAAAAGTTAATTAATTTAAATTTAAAAAGAAAAATACACATACATGGTACATATATACATATGTTAATAAATTTATCTAAGTAGTGACTATAACCCAACTTACTGTAATTAGCGGTGTTAAAGCGGAGGCAAAGGTTACGTCATTTTTTTAGCTGATGTCAATATTGTCATCGTAGATTTGGTATTTGAATGAGTACCCTTTGGCGGCAGCAGCAGCAGCAGTGGCGAAACGAATTCCAACTGAGTACTTTCAACTCACTCCATTTCGAACACACACCCCAACTACGGATGTGGAGACCGTTTGGCGTTGCAAAGCTCTATAAGCTCTATAAAGCTCTGTATTTACTTTTAATTTATTTTTACATGAGGTGGCCAAAAAAAAAAAAAAAATTTACTACAAAAGTAAAAAACAGAATATAAAAAAAAACTATTAAGAAAAGCTTGGCAAACTACACCTCATCTCGCCTTGCTTATGTTAGGTATATATATATATATATATATATATATATCTTGAAAAGGTAAGCTGAGAATAAAATAGTCTACCCAAAAGCTTGCGATATACATACATATAAATATGTAAAATGAAAAAAAACAACAAGTTCGGCTATTGCCGAATATTATATGCTCGACTGTTATAATAAATTTTTCAAAGTCACCTGCTCAGTATTTGGGTTATTGTGTTCTCGAAAAAAAAAATCTTAGATCAAAAAAAAATTAATTAAATTATTTAATATACTGTATTCTCCTCCATCCAGCCACGAAAAGAACACCTACTTGCTTAACAAATTATATGATAATCAACAACAAAAAATAAGCAGTTCGAGTTGACGCGTTTAATGAATAACCCACTTTATGTTGAGTAAAAAAAAGGTGCTGCCATTGTGAATGACACATTGGAAATTACTTAAGGAAATTCCAAATAAATTTCAAAATGAGTGGAAATTTTCAGATAACTCGAGTTTTCGATTAGATTAGAGTCGATATAATCAACTTCCGTTCAATACTTGCAGCTTTTGCAGCCTTATGTCGGCAGTAATGCGCTGAATATTCTCTTGGAAGGCGTCAATCGTACCAGGCTTAGCTGTGCAGACAAGCCACGTCACATAACCTCACAAAAAATAGTCCGTCAATGTTAAATCGCACGATCTTGTATGCACACGACGTGAGATAATCCGCTCAACAAAAGTTGCCTTCAATAAAATGATTGTTTCGTTGCCTTGCTGGTTCTCAATTTCGTTCACTACAACATTCTCCGATTCAGGCAATACCAAAACTTATAGAAAATGTTCCTTCTAAATACGTTCTCGCCTCGGCAGTATGATTCTGATATGTAATGAAAAGGCTCCTCATAAAAATTCCAGCCACAGTTCAATAGTGGCTTCGAATATATAGTGTTGATGCCTCAATTTCTTGGAGAAACGTCAAAAGGTACAGTACCAATAGGTAGGAGCTTGGTCGCCTTGGGTAGAGCTAGGCTCTGATATTGAAAAGTCATATGCCTAATGATTTCTTTAAAATGCCAGGCGTATCGAAGTAGTGTGGAAAGAGAAGCTTAAGAATCAGGATCTAACCCTGGCTTAGATAGCTACCGAACTATCGAACGTTGAGTTTTTCGTTTTAATAACCGAAATATTTGTTCTAAAGCCTACAAAGCTGTCCAGAGACAGCCATTGTATTTTTACAGGGTCTTAGCATCATTAAAACAAACATTTGTGGTCAGTTTGTCAGCCTTCAGTCTACTTAGCTCTCTATTCGATATTCAATTCGACTCACTACTCGACTCGATTGGACTCACCACTCGAGTCGATTGGACTCACCACTCGAGTCGATTCGACTCACTACTCGACTCGTGTCGACTCACTACTCGGCTCGTGTCGATTCACTACTCGACCCTATTATAGTTTCTACTCGACTCGATTCGACTCACTACTCGGCTCGTGTCGACTCACTACTCAGCTCGTGTGACTCACTACTCAACTCTATCCGACTCTGTTCGAATCTATCCGACTCCATTCAACTCACTACTCGATTTGATTCGATTCACTACTTGACTCGATTCGACTCACTACTCGGCTCGACTCGATCCGTTCTACTCTCTACTTGACTCGACTCTCCTCTGCGACCAGTTCTTGAAGTTTAATTTGCATATATACATATGTACATATGTACATATCTATCTGTCATATGGACAACCGTTAGTAGAACAAACCCAATATACCTTGCATACACAATACAGTCGGGTATAAGAAAAGGTCAAGCTATGCTTGTAGACGCGCGCGTATATAACGTCTTATACATACATACATACGAAATACTCCACCACCGGAATGAATAAATAAATTACAAATATACACATATTGATAAGTGATAATTTACTTATTGCGGTAATGCCATTGTTTTTACATAAGTGCAAATAGTTTTTGCTAGAAATTCATAAAGCTGGAAAGAAAAACAGTTCATTTGTTGCTTAAATGATATGTATGTCATGAATTACAAAAAAAAAAGTGAATAAATATTGCTTAGAAATTTGTTTTTTTTTTCTCATAATACATAGATACATAAGTACGTAATACATATAAGGCAAAGTAAAGAAACAAAAAAAAAAAACAAAAAAAAAGTAAATAAAAACAACAACAAAATAGCTAAAATTGTAAAGATACTTTAATTATATGTACCATAAATACATACATACATACCTACCTTAATGAAACAGCCAGCGCAAAAGGTTCAACATAAAAGCTACAGAAAAAAAATTTCAAAAATTCGTTTTTAGGGTGATATTCACCGGAATCTACACATTTGAATCAGCTGTTAAAGTGATGGCACGAGGTTTCATTTTATGCCCGTTTACGTATCTTAGAGATGCATGGAATTGGCTGGACTTCGTAGTAATAGCTTTAGCGTGAGTTTATAATAAATAATATTTTTCAATAATGTTTTTGTTTTTTTTTTATATTATATATTTTTCCTTTAATATTCATAGTGTGTATGTACGTACGTGTATTTGTTGAATTTTCATTTTTAACTTTAATATTTTTTTTATTTATTTATTTATTTATTTAAAAAACATTTAGCTAAATTTTTATATAAATTTATTTTCCTACGTAAATTGAAAATATATATTAATAATTGTTCTGTAATTGATACATATATAAATTCATACTCCTATATATACATATACATATATATACATATATCAATTGAATGTATGGAATACTTTACAATGTGCAAAGAGCATACATACATACATATATACGTAATTCGCTTCATTAATACACTCTTACATTCATACATACATATGTATATGGTATATTCAACATTTCAAACTTAAACGTTAACAAAAAATATAAAAAGTGTTCAAGGATTAGAACGTAGACACAATAACTGTAAATTTCCATATATGTATTCATACACTTTTGTCATAGAATAATTATTTTTTTATATTTTTTTTTAATATTTTTCATTATATTATATTTTTTATAATTATTTTTCATCCAATTTGTTTAAAGAAAATACTTACATATATATATATACATATGTATTTCGAATACATAACTATATCAATTGATGCATGCACAGTTTTAGAAATATACATACATACATGTTAACATTAAGCACATACGTATGCATATATATACCTATATTCATTAGATATTTTACACAAAATTATTTAAAATGTTTTTTTTTTTAAGTAAAATCATCACAAAATGGCCCGAAAAAACAAATTTACATATTATAGAAATACAGTTTGTGCAGTTCATTATTATTTCATGAATTTTTGCCACACAAAATATAACTTCCATATTATATGCATATTCGTACATATATATATGTAATACATATATACAAGATCAAAGCACCGCAAGCGTCCACAAAATTCGATTTTACTGGACCTGACTCGCTTCAATTCCACTCGGTTCGATTCGATTCCACTCGGCTCGAGTCATTTCCATTCGGCTCGATTCGGTTCCACTCGGCTAGATTCGGTTCCAGTATAGTCGACTCGATTCGGTTCCAGTATAGTCGACTCAATTCAATTCCACTCGGCTCGATTCGGTTCCACTCGGCTCGATTCAATTCCACTCGGCTCGATTCGGTTCCACTCGGCTCGATTCAATTCCAATCGGCTCGATTCATTTCCATTCGGCTCGATTCGGTTCCACTCGGCTCTATTCGACTCTACTCGGCTCGATTCGACTCTACTCGGCTCAACTCGATTCAAGCTCAGTTCGCCACCGAAGAAATTAAGACCGCTAAATATAAACGATCTCGAACGGTTATGCATATTGATGACTTAGCGGGTACATAACAGTAATTAATAAAGTTTCTCAATTTATGAACACCGATAAACTTGAACGTGAGACTAACGGTTAAGAGAGTTCAAAATCAAAGTTAATCCAAAATCCGGGAGCTCACATTATGGTGCAACAAAAGAAGTTGCAGATCTTTCCTGTCAGAGCATTGTCTACTAATGTCGTCTCTTCGCCATTTATAAAACACAAAGGCATTCCGTGCAGACCTCATCTGCTGGAGTACTCCTGTAGCAGTCTTCTTCTTTACTGATGTAGACACCGCTTACATGATTATAGCCGAGTTAACAACAGCGCGCCATTCATTCTTTCAATTCGCTTTTTGGAAATACCAAGCCCAAAAAGGATGTTTCTCCACCTGGTGCTTCCAACGGAGTGGATGTGCGCCACTTCCCTTACTTTAAAAGCTGGTGTACTCAGTAAAATATATGAACTTCGTCAGCCTATCAGCACTCTCTTACGTGATCTACTACAGTCTAAGCCTCATAGCAGCCGATAAGCACGAAATCCATCAAAAACTCTGCATTATTCTGCAAGTCTGGTCCCTTATTGTCGCAGATTAGAATCCCACATTCCTAAATACCAGCATTCCAACATACCAGGACTTCCCAGACTTCACTGACTACCCACTGACTGTAGTCTTCTGTGGATTTGGCCGTTCTTTGTGGATGAAAATTCGTTTGTTGATAACGTGAAATAAAAAGAATTTTTTTAAAAGTAAATTAACCTTTTCTTTGTTTCACAATTTCGCCGTTTTACACATGAAAAATTTATCACTTGGTATTTAACATATGTACATATATACATATGTATGTATGAAGACTACTCATTTATTATTTTATGTATAATATATATATATTAAGTGACATTTATCATTACATGCCGCAGATCACAAAAAAAAACAAAAATAATAATAAAATTTTAAATTTCTACAACAAAATTACTAACATAACTATTATGCTTTCTCCCCGTTGTTTGTTGCGGTACATTCTCATACGTGCGCGTTGTTCTTCTATAGTTATGTGACCATGGGTATTGATTTAGGTAACCTCGCAGCATTGAGAACGTTCAGGGTATTGCGAGCGCTTAAAACCGTAGCCATCGTGCCAGGTAAATTAATTTTTTTTATTTTCATTTTCCTTATCTTTTTTTTTGTTGTTGTTGTTTGCTTCTCTGTACAATCTTCTGGGAAAAGGCAAAAGTTTACGGTTTTAGTTTTTAGCTTCATACTCACTACATCATCTTAACTAAATACTTTTAGGCTTGAAGACTATCGTTGGTGCTGTCATCGAATCGGTGAAAAATCTGCGTGATGTGATAATTTTAACAATGTTCTCACTATCAGTATTCGCACTGATGGGTCTACAAATATACATGGGTGTTCTAACACAGAAGTGCATTAAAAAGTTTCCCTTAGATGGTTCATGGGGAAATCTGACTGATGAAAACTGGGACTACCACAATCGTAACAGTTCGAATTGGTATTCAGAGGATGATGGTTATTCCTTTCCACTTTGTGGGAACATATCGGGCGCTGGGTAAGTTTAAGCACATGAAATACAAAAATTTGTATTATCAACAAAAACAAAAAGAAACAGAAAAAATAGAAATAGTAATACTATATGTTTAAGGTAAAGAAAGATAAATAAGATATAAATTTGCTTGAAGGATTTCCTTAAACGCGAAATAAACTTGAAAGCGTCGAACATTTTTTAGCTGAGCAAAAGTGCAAAAGTCAAAATTCTTATGACGTAATTTTCGAAAAAAAGACACTTTCGATGCTATCTAGTTTAACACTCGTCAGTAAAGGTGATCCCCAAGAGTTTGAGAGCCCAAAACAAGATCGAGCTCTGTGTTTACCAACTGAAAAATATATTTTATTAAATAAAATTATTAACTAAAATGTGCATTTGTATATAAGCCGATAGATTTGCGGTAAAATAAAAGAATTATGTGCATAAAACCGTTTTTTTTTTTTAATTTATTCCACTAACCACATTTATTATGAAGCAATTACTACAGTTTAAATTAAAAAGTTAATAGTTACCTAAATATAGAAACTAAAAAAAAATATGTAATTTTAATTATTTTTGGTTTATTCGTTTTTTTTTTTTTTGATTTTTATGATATTAAATTTAAATGTCGTTAATTATTATCATAAAATATAACCATTATTCATTTGAGTATACAGAAAATTTGAGAGGCGGCATAACTTTGAAAAAAAGAGGTATATTAAAGCCAACATAGCCGCGAGCAGTTTTAAATACACTGTGTTAGAGTTTTCTTACATATTTTTACATATTAAATATATAAATTATTATATTTTAACACTAATTATAAGCATTACTCAATTGAGTAGAGGAAAATTTTGAGAGACAGAACAATATTCACAGTAAACAGTTTGAGAGGTATATGCACACGGCATTGAATCGAGCAGTTTTAAATGCACTGTTTTATGACGCTTAAGAAATTGCACACGAGTAGGCATAATTACAAGCATAAATAAACGAAAACCATTATAAAAGATTCCAAATAAAACAGATCATTTAGAAGCGCACACAATTTTAGCACTGGCAGTTCATTTATAGGCGCAAAATAATGAAAATTAACATAACAGTTTGATATTTGTCTAAAAGAAAACGAGCATTTCTTCACTGTCGTCGGTATAAATACAGGGACGCATTTTATTGTAAATATAAAAATGTAATTTTCAGTTAGTAAACATAAAAATAAATTATATATCGCATATAAATTACTTTTGGAGAATTTGTTGTTACTATTTAACAAACAAAAAAAAAAATATCAATTAATTCATATATTATACACAGACAATGCAGTGATGAGTACGTTTGCCTGCAGGGCTTTGGCCCCAATCCAAATTATGGATACACCAGTTTTGATTCATTCGGTTGGGCTTTCCTCTCGGCGTTCCGTCTAATGACACAGGACTTTTGGGAAGATTTGTACCAGCTCGTTCTTAGAGCGGCTGGTCCCTGGCACATGCTGTTCTTTATAGTCATCATCTTCCTAGGTTCATTCTATCTTGTGAATTTGATTTTGGCCATTGTTGCCATGTCTTATGACGAATTACAAAAGAAGGCCGAAGAAGAAGAGGCTGCCGAAGAGGAGGCGATACGTGTAAGTAGTAAAATGCATGCGAGTAAATTTTTTCAATTTTAATTTGGCACCAAGCAGCCAGGCTTGTGCAGGCCGATTAGAGTGGAAATATTTACTCAAACCTTGTTTGATATGTGTGTGTGTATGTGTTATATGTATGTATAATTTATTTTGCTTTTATTATAAATTTATTATAAAAAAAAATATATATATATATTTACATATATTTTACGCTTTATATTTATTTAATGTTTTTTTTTTTAATTTTTACAAAAGTTTATATATATATAAATGTGTTTATATACTTCTGTGTAAATTTATAATTTATACATACTAACATATAGTTGTGTGTTTTGTGCTTTGCTAATAAAGTGAACAAAAAAGTGTAGCAGAAATGCAGCTGAACCAGTGTTTTGTTATGTAAATTGCAAATACAACGAGGACATATTGTGATTACAAAAGTACTAAACGGCTACGAATATATATATAATTATACTAATTTTTTTGTATATTTTTTTTTAGTTTTTTTTTCTTCTTTTGTGCTTTTAAAAGTTACCATTTAAACCAATATGCATGTGTTAATATATTGAATGCGGAAATTCGCTACTAATAAATGCGTACGTGACTAAAAATCGCAAGAAAAAAAACAAAAACAAAAATGTCATCGGTACACGAACTCCTCTCAATAACTCGTACACGAGCACTTTCAAGGTTCTATAGGACTTAACGAAGTGGACAATGTTTAAACGCTTTGGTGGCTTTAATATTTTTTAATTTGCATAGCACGCAATTTGTTCCGAGTTCGAAAGCACCATAGGCTCATAACCCTCATCCTCAATTAATATATGCTTATAGGAAGCGGAGGAGGCGGCGGCGGCGAAAGCTGCCAAATTGGAGGAGCGTGCGAATGCGGCAGCACAGGCGGCAGCAGATGCAGCTGAAGCGGCCGAGGCAGCGCTACATCCGGAATTGGCGAAGAGTCCAACGTATTCGTGCATTAGCTATGAGCTATTTGTCGGCGCCGAGAAGGGAAATGATGACAACAATAAGGAGAAAATGTCGATACGCAGCGTTGAAGTTGTATCGGAGTCGGTGAGCGTTATTCAAAGACAACCAGCACCTACCACAGCACCTGCTACTAAAGTCAGAAAAGTAAGCACGGTAAGTATATAAAAGCTGGCTGATATGCTTTCAAGTTAAATTCCTTTTCTTTTCTTTTCCTTTCCATTCGAAATTGCCTTGCCGAATTTTCCACTGTTATATTGTGTTCGATTTTCGATTTGAATTATTGTAAATGTATACATACATATGTATATACTGTATAAGTAATATGTACATAAGTATGTATGTATGTATGTATTTATATGCAAAATGCTTCTTTCTTTATACAGTTTCTTATTTCATTTGCACACATCACAAAGTTATTTCTTTACTTTTCATTCATTTCAGTAAATTTTCGTATTGTTTTTATTTAAATTTTTTTTTTTTTTTTTTTTTGAATTTTTTCTTTTAATTTTCATTTAGACACACAAAAATCGTATTATTTCCTTATCATAATCAGTATTGGTAATTTGAATATGATAATTGTATATATGTTTATATGTATGTATCTTAATTATTACTTCGAAAAAGTTGTTGTTTTGTATTTTTGGCATGTTTAGCGCTTGCGGCTTAGTTAGTATATTTTTATATCTATCGCCTATGCGTATGTATGTACATACATATACATATACCGTAATAGTTACAACAACCAACTGTATTTTTTACAATATTGCCCTCAATAGATTTAATTAATTCAAATAAATACGGCCATAAAAGTACACTTACCAGTGAAGGTGTAAAAACTGCTCTTATCCCAAAATTTTTAATTTTTTATACAACTATTTGATGGTTTAATTAATTTTTTCCAAACCGTTGTTAAGTGCAAACCGAAATATAACACAATGTAAACAAAGAGTAATCAATTGAACAACAAGAGTAGTCTAGACGAACCATAATGCTAGCTATATGTATGTACATTGTATATCGACTTCCGATAGTTTTATAACTATCCAATAAATTTTTATACAATAAATTATACTTATTAGAGAAGTTAAATGCGAAAATTTTCATTTATACAGGGTGCGAAATGCAGCATTAGAAAATAAACATAAATGAGATGCATTTAAAATAATTTATTTTTTATATAATTCATTTTTTACTCAAAAGTTTGAACTTTGGCATTATATATATATAGTAAGTCGAATACTACATCATTCAAATGAATGCTTTGCGAATTTCAACCACTTTTCGACCACTTTTTTCAACATACATATATGTACGTACATATATTGGGCAATATCTTAGCCAAAATTAGACGAATTAATAGTTTCCAATTGGTCAAGCGTTAAAAGTTTTGCGGCATAAGCACAGTCTTTCGCGTAGCCACAGAAAAAACAAGTCCAATCATGTCAAATCGCACGATCTCGTCGCCCAATTGACATCACCAAGACGAAAGCTTATGCGGACGGAGAACCACCATCTTGTTGCAACCACATATTTGTTGTACAAGTTGTGTACTTTAATGACAGCAAATACTTTCGCTGTAGTTAGCAGCAGTTGACGCTCTAGCAAAATGATTTCACATAAAGGAAAATCGTTTTACTAAAATACATATAAATTTCTTTGAAAAATAGCTCATTTGCGCGCTTTGACAATCTGGATCTTCTTTTTTGATAGCGCTTTCGTTATATGAGTCACCTCTCCATAGCTGGCGACTGTATTAAATTCACTATTTTAATGAAATTGTTGAAATTAATAATAAATTTGGAATTTGTACACTTTCCAGCGCCCGTTCGTATGTATTTTTCTTTTAATTTTTCTGACATTTAATTTGTAAGCAAACAGCTGTCAAATGTTAACTCAAACTACGGCTACAGTTTACGAGCTTATGTATTTTTATTCTCAATATTGTATGGTTTTCTTTGCCTGAACTTTATTTTCATATTTAAAAGTATGTAAGGCTATTGCACAAATTATAATCAATTTTTTTTTTATTTTGTTTTAATTTTTCTATTTATTTGAATAGTAGTAGATATTTTAGAAAATTTCGATTACTCACTTCAATTACTGTGCACACAAGCTTCAACTGCTTGCCGTGCATTTACTCAAGTAACTTTTCAAACTTCGCTTTCAAATCAGTCCAGCTAAAACCGAATTAATTTGTAGTTTTATTAAATTTTCGAAAATTTTCGCTTACAACACTTACGCTTGCTATAAAATGCAAATACAACAATAATTTAAAAAAAAAAAAAGAATTTTAATTGAATAAAATTGTTGCAGAACTTTTTTTTTATTTTGTCTAAAATAATAATAATAATATTTGCTGTGCTGCAATTGTTTAATGTCTGAAATTGTCTTATCATACTTATATATATGTAGATACATATACATATGTATATGTATTGTATGTCACCCAATCGGTGTGCAGCATTAATGTTTCTAACAAGTTTCAATAGCTTTTATGCCTAACGGAAACCATATAAATATTAATTGGTTATAAAAATTATAAGTAGAAAATTACAAAAAAAAAAAGCACACACACACAAAGCTAAACAATATTTTATTTGGCGTAAACAAAAAATAAAAATTAATTTCGGTCCAACGATTTGCCAGGTAGGTGTTAAACTTCTTGAATAAATATTTAAAAATATACTAATATATAAGAGAATATATTTACAATAAATATATAACCAATTGGTACAGTTTAAAACTTAAATACATACACACGAATGTAAATAAATTAATTACCAAAAAAAAAAAATTTAAACAAACAAACAGAAACTACTTTTTATCCGACTTAGCAGTTAGTTTTTCTCATTGATTTTTTAGTAGTTGTTAAATATATTATTTCTCTGTTTTACACTTAATTAAATTAAGTATTCATTATTATTGATCTTGCCGTTCCTTGCATTTACCTTTATGTACAACTGAAGAAAACAAATTGTACATATGCTTTTGATCCTGAAATTTCCTATACGAATTTGTTGTTGTAGTATAGTAAAGTTTTTGCAATGCAGTAATAAAAAATATAAATTTTGAAAAAAATGTATGAAATTTTTTTCAAGTAAAATCAAAGTATTGAAGTAAGATTTTTGTAATTAAAATTTTGCAATTGATTTTTTTTACTATAATAACTAATTAATTTTAAAGTTAAACATTGTAAATTTTTCTCTTTTATTATTTTCAGGTGTTGGACATTATTTTATATATTTTTTTTAATATTTCTAATTTTGATTTTAATATTTTACACATTACATTTAAACTTTAGTGGACACTATTTTAATTTTTTTTTTCAAAAATTTTTAGTTTTAAATTTTCATTAAATAAATATTTTTTTATAAATTTTTTTTAAACACTTTAAATTCTAAAATTGCATTTTTAAGAAATTACTTAAAAAATATGTTTCAAAAATTTTTAATTTAATTTATTAAAACAATTTTTAAAAATTTTGCTTTTAAATTTATTTTAATTAAAATTACTTATGTTATTTTAAAATTAGACTTTTAAAAAACTATTTCAATCTTATTTAATTTTATTTTTATTTTACAAATTTTGCATTCAAACTTTTATTATTTTGAAATTACATTTTTACGAAATTATTTATTTCAAATTTAATTTTAATTTTAAACTTACATTTTTAAGAAATCATTTATAAAAATTTTAATTTTAATTTTTTTAATTTAATTTATTAAAATAGATTTTAAAAATTTTACTTTAAACTTTTTTTAATTTAAATTACTTTTTTTATTTAAAAATTAGATTATTTAAAACATTTAATTCAAACATATTCAATTTTAGAATTGCTTTTTAAGAAATTATTTTACAAATTTTATATTCAAACTTCTATTATTTTGAAATTACATTTTTACGTAATTATATTAAAATTTTTTTTTAAATATTTTAAATTTTAAACTTGCGTTTTCAGAAATTATTAAATTAAAAATTTTACATTCAACTTTTTATTATTTTAAAATCATATTTTTACGTAATTATATTAAAAACGTTATTTCAAACATTTGAAATTTTAAACTTACGTTTTCAGGAATAATTTAAATTTTTTTTAAAGAAATTGTTAATATTAAAATAATATTTTTACGAAAATATTTAAAAAATTTAATTTGAAAAATTTTTAATTTTAATATTACGTTTTTATGAAATTATTTAACAGTTTTTACATTTAAACTTTTATAATTTCAAATTAACTTTTTTTTTTTGAGCTTAATTTATTAAATATAATTTATTAAATTTTTCTTTGAAACTTTTTTAAGTTTGGTTTTCATTTGTTAAATGTTATTTTTTCAAATTTTATTTATTTTTTAGAAATTATTTAAAAAAATTTATTTTAAACTTCTCTCATTTGTTAGATATTATTTTAAAAACTTTACTTTTTTTAATTTTGAGTTTTCATTTTATATGTATATATATTTTTTTTCATTTAAATATTTAATTAAAATTCAATTTTAAAATTGTTATTTCTTTTAAATATGTAACCATGAAATATCTCTTAGCTTAATTCTTAATTTATATTATGAAATAATGCAAAAAAATTTAAACATTGTAAAATGAATAATTTAAGTAAAAAAAAAATCTTTAAATATTTTTATAACTTTACTTTTAACATCTAGTTGTAAACTTTTATTATTTAATTACTTCAAAGTAATTTTGTAAACCTATTTATAACATCTAGTTGTAAAATTGTATTAATTTTTTTTTATTTCAATATTCGGTAATTAAATGGAATTCATTTTTTTTAATAATTTTGTAAATTCAACAATTAATTTAAATTCCATAAATTATTTATAAAAGGCGATTTTGTGTTTTTAGTTTTCATCATAATTAAGTTTAATTATTTAAATTATTTTTTTCATTTCATAAACAGTATTCTTCTGCTCTTCATTAGCAAACATACAAACGTACATAATCAACGAAATAAAAACTTCAATTGGAAACATAATAAAGCCAATACATAAAACACAATTACCAACTTATTAAAAATATTTTTCTATAGAAAAAAAAAATACCGCACCCAATACATATAATTTCCTATATTTGCCCGAATAAAACATGGAAATAATATTGAAAAAATAAAAATTAAAATAAAATGAAAACAAAAAAATATTTTGTATGTGAATTTTTTTATTTACATATATTTTTCTATTTCTTCTTCTATATATTTTTTTTTATTTATAAACAAACATAGACATCCTTATCCTTACCTGGTTCACCGTTTAACATACGCAGGGGATCACGTAGTTCACACAAGGTAAGCAGACTAATTAACCAATGCTACAAGCTTAGCACCCACCACCCTACAAAGTATCAAAGTATTGTTGTATGTCGATATGTGAGACACTGTGAAGAATCATATGTATGCACTTAAGCATAAATTCACAAAATATATAATTATTTCTCTGTTTTTTTTTTTTAAATTTAGTTATTCATTTATTTTTTAAAACATACATACATACATATATTAGTTGCACAAGTCATACATATATTCAACTTATTAGCTATATATGTAAACAAAAATATATGTTAGTATTTTTGTGTGTATGTCAATATTGAAAATAATATTTACATATAGGGTTATCAAGGTTTTATAGATATATATAAATAATATATGCATTTATAAATATATGTAGATGTCTAGGCAATTAAAAAAATAACTGTTTTTATTCTCTCCATATATTTGTATGAATAATATATTTACGTATAATAATAATGTCAATTAAATGTTTAATAAAAAATAATCTCTGTCGTGTCTATTGTATGTTTGTCATGTTGTATCAAGTACATACACACATATATTGCATATTATTAAGTCAATCTTTACAGCGAATTTTTAGGTCCAAAAAAATACATAACTTTGCGTATATACAAAACAAACATATCTATCATATTTTTATACATTTTATATTTAATATTTTTTTTTTTTAATTTTTTTATAAAAATATATAAATAAAATTTTTATTATCAATTTCCACGCACATTCACCATATTAGAATATCACACTCTAGTTTCTCTCTAATTCTACTTTCATATTCGTACATACATATTTCCCCATTTGTTTGTTTGTGTTGTCTTTTGTTCCGAAATACCATTTTGAAATTCATTTGTCTCGTCTTTTTTTTCTTCCAATGAGAGTCTTGTATTTAGCTATATGTAAGTCTTAAATACATAAAAAACTACATATATAAATTCTTCCACTCCTTGCCGTGTGTAGTATACAATACGTAATGGGCGTGGTCGTTTCGGTATTCCGGGTAGTGATCGAAAGCCGCTCGTACTGTCAACATATCAGGATGCGCAACAGCATTTACCGTATGCCGATGACTCCAATGCAGTTACGCCCATGTCTGAAGAGAATGGCGCCATAATTGTACCGGTTTACTATGGTAACTTAGGTGAGTTTCAATAATTATGCATAATTTATATATATATATGTATAAAATATGCAGCGCGATGTTCTTTTCTACTACAAAACTTTATATACTTTTTTGGCTTTATTTTATATTATTATGTGTTATTTGTTCAATTTTTTCAGTTTATTTTATTTTATTTTATTTTGTTTTATTTTATTTTATTTTATTTTATTTCATTTTAATTTATTTTATTTTATTTAATTTTACTTTATTTTATTTTATTTTATATTATTTTATTTAATTTTAATTTTTTTATTTTATTTTGTTTTATTTCCAATGTTTTCAAATGAATATTCACTCTCGTCAGAGTTGCTTGATTAATTAAATCGATATTTTATAATGGTTTTTAGTACGCGAGTTTTGCTTGAGAGACTGTCTCAGCCGAACAGACTGTTCCACATATTATATTTACATTTTTCATTATATACATACATACTTTTGGGCACATATTACAGGCTCCAGACATTCATCATATACCTCGCATCAATCACGTATCTCGTATACATCACATGGCGATTTGCTCGGCGGCATGGTGGCCATGGGCGTTAGCACAATGACCAAAGAGAGTAAATTGAGAAGTCGTAATACGCGCAATCAATCGGTGGGTGCATCGAACGGCACTAACTATGTCGATACGAATCATAAAGACCAACATCGGGACTATGTAAATATAAGCGCGCTCAAGTGTTTTGTATATATTAATTAGATGAATTTCTTACGGTATTTTCTTTTTCTCTCTTGAACAACAGGAAATGGGCCTTGAATGTACCGACGAAACCGGAAAAATAAAACAAAACGACAATCCTTTTATTGAGCCCGTCCAAACACAAACAGTTGTCGACATGAAAGGTTAGCTTTTTTTATATATAATATACATGTATATACATGTTTTTTATTCTTATTTACTTAAAAAAATACAACAAGTTTTAATAAAAAAATTTTTTTAATTAAATTACAGATGTTATGGTTTTAAATGACATAATTGAGCAAGCCGCTGGTCGGCATAGTCGTGCTAGTGATCGTGGTGGTAAGATAATCACTTTAAATAAAAAATAAAATTACTGAAATTATTTTATCTTATCTATTTGTATGTGTGTTAATAATTTGCCAAATGTATAATTATGCTTAAAATCATTTCAATGTAAATAAGTACATTGCATTTATGTTAACAACCAATTTTTTGATTTGTTTTAATTTGTACATATATACATATGTTTGTGTATAAGTGTGCGTTTTGTTGTAATTATTTTACTGTTTAATTACTAACTTGAGATTGGACTGTGGTGTAAATATGTATGTGCATAAATATTAAATATTTAAATAATATTTTATTTCAATTTTTTTATTTAAATATATTTTTCGGATGAGTTAATTTTTTTTTTTTTTTTTTGAAAAAATTCCTTTTAACTTGATTGTTTTTTCCTAAAAAGCCAGTGATACATTGCGAATTTGAGCTGTTGAAATAATAATATAGTCCATTTTTCGCTCTTTTAAGTACAATAATTTAAGTACTGCCTTTTTTTTTTGAAAATTTTTAAAAATTATATTATTAATTATTAAGTAAATAATGCATTTATTATGCTATCAAAAATACTATTTTCAAATAAAAGTTTAAGCCAAATTAGCATAATTGTCTACCTACAAATCTAGTGGCAACACTTTCAAAAATTGCAGTTTTGAAAAAAGTACATACGCTATTTTTTTTTTTTTTTTTCAAATTAAATAAAATTTTGTAACTAATATTTTTTTGCCAAAAGTGGACTTATGCTATATTAATTTGCAGCAGCTCGTATTGGAAATTAAAAAAAAAAACGTTTGCCGTCAGTCAAATGGACATTTTTGCGCCAAATAATGAGATATTTTTTTAAAAAAAATTCTTTAAAATAAAATTCTTTAAAATAAAATTCTTTATTAAAATAAATTTGAAAAAGTAATTTATATTTTTTATATTTTGGTACATTTTTTTGTAAAGTATTTGAATTTTTTAATTTTTATTTATTAATTTTTTTTGATTTTTGATTATTTATTATTTACGTACAAGCATTTCAAATTATTTTTTTTTTACAAAACAAAAAATATATAATAATAAATAGGTGTATGAACGTATATTTATTTATTTACTATAAAAAAATGACTAAATGAATTTAATTTAAACTCTTTTTAAATGCATTTCTTTTTCAACAAATGCCTTGCTAATGTTTTTAAAATTATGTTAACTGCGTAAAAATATTTTTTAAAAATAAAAAAAAAATACCCCTGCATATATAGCAATACAGCACTTAATAAAAACAAACATTAATAAATTTAATAAATAATTTTTTTGCATATGTGTGTTATAACGAATGAATCCAAACAGCTGTTAATAACTGCAACTGGTAACGGTATGCTGAGAATTTGCAACAAAAAAAAATGTTCTTGAAAATAATGAAAAAATAATAATTTTTAGTATGAAAGAATTTTAAAGGAATTTATTTCTAAAAAAAAATATTTTTGCTAACTTTTCTTTCTAAAATTATTTTTGCAAATTTTTCTATTGGAAAAAATGTGACCTGCAAACGTAAAATTTTTTTTTTTTTTAATATTAAAACATTTTAAAACAAAAACAAAAGTTACCAGCTGCTAGTACCAGCCAGCCTCCTCTCTGCTTGGCACACTTTGAATGGGAAACAGTTCAAGTTTTTTTCCCACGCACTAAATCCAAAACTAATTTCTTTCCTTCCAAACTACCCATATGTATGTATGTACCCTCTATTGAGCAGCTACAGTAAGATTGTCGTAATTGGCAGGCATTCTTAATTAATTATGACAGTCTTGCTGATAATAAAAAATTATTGCTTAGGTTTTATTATTACTAAAAAAAGAAAAACATATTCAACCATAAATGACATTTTAAAGAAAAATATATATTTTTGAAATGTGATTGTCATTTATATTAAAACTGTTAAATATGTTTCTAATTTTTATAAATGTATTTTATTTATTTTCTATACATTATTGAAAAAGCCTTCTACGAACTATATTGACTTCTTTGACTCGTCCATTTTATCTACTCTGGTGATGCTATTAGCAATTTAAATACATATTAAATAAAACTAAAAACACATAACCTAATGCAAATTTATAATTTTTTGCAGTGCATTTCTTAATTTTTATATCTTACGATTTTGAATGTGACTTATTTTTGGTAAGAGATGAAATTTGTATTTTTGTGTTTGCTATATTTCTCTATGCAAACAACAAAACTGTAATGATAAAATGTGATTTGTGGTAGCTAAAGTTGATGAAAAGTAAATCAAAAAAAAAAAAATTCATTAAAACTAAATAACATAAATTTTTTCATAAAATTATAATAAAAAACAAAATAAATAAGGAATTAAAAATAAAATTAGTTTATATTAAAATAACATAAAATATGTTCATAAAAATATAATAAAATAAATATGATACAAAAAAAATTTAAAAATAAAACTAGTTAATAATAAAACAACATAAAATGTTTTTATAAAAATATATAATAAAAGTAATTAAAAAAATAAAAAAAAATAAAAATAAAATTAGTTTATATTAAAATGAAAGGATAATTGAAAAAAAACAATTAAAAATAAAATTAGTTTATAAAATAAAATGAAATGATAATTAAAAAAAAATCAATTAAAAATAAAATTAGTTTATAAAATAAAACGAAATGATAATTAAAAAAAAAAAAACAATTAAAAATAAAATTAGTTTATAAAATAAAACGAAATGATAATTAAAAAAAAAAAACAATTAAAAATAAAATTAGTTTATAAAATAAATCAACTAAAATAAACTGTTTCCATGGAAATATAAAAAAAAAATAAAAAATAGACACAAAAAAATAGCAATATAAATAAAAATTTTTCATGGAAAACATCAAATTAATTAAAAAAAAAAAATTTAATAAAATAACATAAAATAATTCATAAAAAAAATTTTAAAAGAAAATATAATAACATTAAAAAAATTAAAATTAAAAGTTAAAAAATTATAACAACTAAAAACAAAACAACTTAAAATGTTGTGATTAAAAAACAATATAATATAAATAAAAAATGTTAACATAAATTAAATTAATAAAAAAATATCAAAAATTCAAAAGAAATATATATTCAAAATATATTAAAAACAAAACAAAATCCAAATTGTTTTCATAAAACCAATAAAAAAATTAGTTAAAAATAAAATAGCATAAAATGTTTTCATTAAAAAAATAGTAATAAAGGAAAACATCGGATACTAAATCAATAAATAAAAAAACACGAAATGAAAAAAAAAAATCAAAAAAAATTGATGAAAAAATATTAATAAAATTAATAAAAAAAAGAGACGAGATATTTTCATTCAAAAATTAGTAAAATATTTAAATATAATTTAAGTTGTTCATATAAAAAAAAAATAATGGAAATAAACGAATTCATTAAGAATAAATATGTTAAATGAATGGCTCTTCGAAAAATTAAGTGGAATCTATGAAAAAAAAAATGTTTTCATCAAAGATTTAAAAAAAAATTTAATTCATCAAACATTTAAAAAATAAAATGTTTTCGTAAAAGAAAAAAAAAGAATCGAGAAATTAAAAAAAATTTATATCAAAAGAAATAAAAATTAAAAATATCAAATCCAAGAAAATTAAAATAAAATATTTTTTAATAAATAATTTAAAAAATAACGAAAAAAAATTAAAAATAATTAATTAAAGAAAAATTGCTTAAAAATAGTATAGCATAAAGTGTTTCACCAGAAAATAAGAATAAAAAAAATTCGAAATAATAAAAAAAATTATTAAATATAAAATTATCAAATATAAACGAAGTTAATGAAAAATTTATAGAAATTATTAAAAATAAAAGAACACAAAATATTTTCATTGAAATATTAAGAAAAAATTTAATACAATATAAAATGTAATTAAGGCTAACTTTTAATAATAAAATAATATAAAAATTATTGCAAATTAATAATAAAATAACATAAAATGTTTTAATCAAAATTTATTTTCATTAAAAAATTAAAACAAAATTAAATATAAAATAAAATGTTTTCATATAAAATGTAATTAAGGATACAAATTAATAATAAAATAATAAAAAACATTAAAAATAAAAAAAATTAAAATTAAATAAATAAAAAAAAACTCGAAATAATTAAAACTAATATAACACAAATTGAAAAAATCTTAAACGAAGTTAATGAAAAATTTTAAGAAATTATTAAAAATAAAAGAACACAAAATATTTTCATTGAAATATAAAAAAAAATTAAATACAAAATAAAATTTAAAAGTAATTAAGTATAAAAATAAAAATTAATAATAAAATAAGATAAAATGTTTCAATTAAATAATATAAAAAGATTTAAAAAAAATTAAAAGAATTGAAAATTAATAATAAAATAACGTCTCATGTTTTAATATATCAAATATACATAAAATTCAAAAGAAAAACAAAAAATGTTTTAATCAAATAATATAAAAAAATTTATAAAAAATTAATAATAAAATATCGTTTCATGTTTTAATATATTAAAAATAAATAAAACTCAAAAGAAAAACCAAAAAAAAAAATAATTAAAAACAAAATAACATGTTTAAATGAAAGCAGGAAGATATAAAATAAGGATGTGGAAAAAATTAATTAAATTAAACAATTAAATGTTAAACAACTTAAAATTAATATAAAAATCAAAAAACAATAAAAATATTAAAAATATTAAAAAGATAAATAATGTCATAAAAATAAAACAAATTTAACATTTTTTGAAAATAAATAAAAAATCAACGAAAAACTGTAAAAATAAAATCTTTTCATAAAAAATTGTGGAAAATATAAAATAAAAAGTAAACAAAAAAATTTAATAAATAAAATATTTTTTTCACACAAAAATATAATGAAAGAAAATTAACTAAAAATAAAATAGCCTGGTTTCATCAAAAAACAATTAAAAAAAAATGAAGAATAAAAGAGATAAAAATTGTATTAAATATAAAATAATATAAAATGTTAAAAAAAAAAAAATTAAAAAAAAAATTTTTCAAAAATATTAAACATAAAATAAAATGTTTTCATAAAGAAAATGGCAAATCTCACACTAAATAAATAAATCTTAGTTTAGTAGTAGTTGCATACAGTTGCTTTCAGCTAAATTGCATGCTTTAAATATTTTGAAAAAAAAAAATAAAAAAATAAATACAAATGTTTGTAGTACTATTTTGTAAAACTGCCTAATTTAGCTACGAATTTGCATATTTTTTAAATTTAATTTTGTCATGCATGCATTTAAATATTATATTTTGGCGCGTAAGCATTTCTGTAGTTGATCATAATAATTTTAATTGATAATTGCATAATATGCAAAACTTAAACAAAAATAATATTTTTTTTTTTGCTATATATTAAATACAATTTTTTACACAAGTATGTATTTTTTTTCAAAGCACATGCAATATAAGCTTCAGCGAATAATTTAAACATTTTTTTTTTTTTTGCTTGAAAAGCCGAACTATTTTTTATTTATATTTAGTACTGATATTAAATGCTTGGAATTTTTTTTACTAAAAATATAACAAACAAACAAAAATATGTTAAAATGTTTACAAAATAATTTTAGTTTTGAAGTTTTTTTTTTATTGTAACTATATTTACTGTAATTTTATACCAAGAATGTATTTCTACTGTATAAATAATTAAAGTGAATTGAAATAGAAAATTGTGCAAAAGCAAAATGGAATATCTTAGACAAATGTTAAATTCATTTAAATTAGCTATTTTGCAATTGAGAAGAGATTGTTATCACATAAAAAAAAAAAACAAAAAAAAAACTAGTAATAGATATTTTCATAGTAGCTCAAGTAAAGTATTGTCACTAAACATTAAATATAAATTCTCCTTTAATATTTCATTACAAAATTTGAACTCATAAACGAAATACAGTCATGTCCATGGAAAAAGCGCGCTCAAGAATTTAGGTCACGGTAACAGCTTCACGGCATACTTTATAAAGCTAGAGCAATGGCAAGCAAGCCAATATAACAGCTGAGAAATCAACTCGCTATTGACCCCAATTGGATATACCAAATGCAGCCAGGTGGTTTTTCTCCAGCTAATCTTTTCAACAGAGTAAAAGTCTACCTTTGTATTGACCAGCGAATACTTTCAAAGCTGGAGAATATACATACATATTCTACCAAGCGTAGCCGCTGTCTCTTAATGCGCTTCGTGCATCTCATGCAGTTCATCGTTTCATCGCCGGCATTATTTGCGATCCCCCACTCGTATACACAAAGGACTTTCTCATGAAGACTTCTCATAAGCTGTCGAAATCTTCTATCCCACTTCGGTTGCGCTTCTCTGATGGTGGACATTGAACTTTCATACAATACTCTTAGATAGCACCTTATACGGAATATTGAGAAGGCTTATCCCACGATAACAAATTTTGCAAAGAACCTTATCAGTTATTCGCCGCCATATTTGAATAGAGCAGTCAGTAGGCCAGCGGTTTAAGCAGCTCTCTTTGCATTAGGCGAGTAATCGCTATTCGTCGAACTTCCTTTTTTAATCATCATCAAGTTGGGATTCGGTTTCACCACTACCATTTCAGCAGACTGTACGAACTTGTGCCTGCATACATGAGTCATGTTTGGTCTCCTTCTATCTAGAGTGGCCGCATTATTCCTTTAAATTTACTCGCATTATCCGTATCGGTCAGTTTCTAAAGACCTTCGCACTCGCTAGCCTTTTTAACTCACGGTAAATAACCACTGCTTCCAACATAGTCCAATTCTATGCTAGCTCATTGGAGCGTCTGTACATCTAAAACCGCGGTAGCCACTGGAAGCCGACACCTCAACGATTTCGTTACGAAATTCTCGCTGCAGAGACAACCATGTAGCGTGATGAGCTTTTTTGTGCTGAAATCTGGTGCTCCATTGAGATCTATCCAGTGCTCTTATCATATTCCACTTCTGATATAGAGTGCGCTATTTGCATGACGCTGATTGTATTGTGGATCTGTAAAAAATAGAAATCTAGAATAAATGTAAATGTTTTTCAAAAATGCGATAATTATAAATGTGCTTTCATTAATTTTAATTGTAGTTTACATATGAATCATATGCACATTTTGCAATTAAAATATTTTTTTTTTTTCGGTTGAGTACATAATTTATAGCTTCATTTCAGTAGTTAATGATAGCAAATAAAAACTTAAACAAAAGAGCAGTGCCAATCAATAAAATTAATAATAAAAAGAAAAAACAAAAACAAAACCTAAAATCGACGAAGTCAAAGCTGGTCAAATTCGACTAATCCGAAACTTTATGGTTCAGTCTCCGTTTACTATTTTCCCACAGAAGACGATGACGAGGATGGTCCCACATTCAAGGACAAAGCGCTCGAGGCGATACTTCGTGGCATTGATATTTTCTGTGTATGGGATTGTTGTTGGGTGTGGCTGAAATTTCAAGAATGGGTCTCCTTAATTGTCTTCGATCCGTTCGTGGAGCTTTTCATCACATTATGTATTGTTGTAAACACCATGTTCATGGCAATGGATCATCACGATATGAATAAGGAAATGGAGAAAATATTGAAAAGCGGCAATTATGTGAGTTGAGAAACCTGAAAACATAAAAATTTACAGTTTAATTTAAATTTTATATTAATAATTTATTTTTTTTTTTGCTAAATTTTAATTTTTTAGTTTTTTACTGCGACTTTCGCCATTGAAGCCACTATGAAACTAATGGCCATGAGTCCGAAATACTACTTTCAAGAGGGTTGGAATATATTTGATTTTATAATTGTGGCACTCTCACTGCTGGAATTGGGCTTGGAAGGTGTTCAAGGCCTTTCCGTTTTGAGATCATTCCGTTTGGTAAGTTTCTTTCAGTTTCATACATAAATTAACAAAACCCTTTTTATTGTTACCAAGTATAATTAAGCAATGAAATTTTAGGTCAAGTAAAAGGTCAACCGTTATTATATGCATTAAATTGTTGGCTTAATTTATCATAGTTGAAGTTATCCGATTAATGTTGTATGTCAAATATTCACCGTTTCGCTCCAAACTTTTTTAGAAGGCAATGTCAACTCACAGAAACCATTGGTCCTTGTGGCAAAAGATTTATTGATTTTCATAGATTTCTCTTGAGACCAAATTTTCACCTGTCAAATCATACGTCATAGACAGCAACGGATGGTGATCACTTGGTGCGAGGTCCGGAGTATAAGGTGGATGCATAAAAATCTACCAACCATACTCTGGGAACTTCTGCCGAGCCACTATCGATGTGTGTGTGGTCTGGTAAAACACTATTTCGCCTACTATTGACCAAAGCTGGGCGTTTTCTTTGATTACTTCCTTCAGACGGTCCAATTGCTGACAGTACAGATTTGAATTTAGATTTTGGTCGTGGGACAGCAGTTCTTTTTGGATGATTACTTGCCAATACCAATATACACACAACAAAACATGCCTGGTCGTCAATTCTCTGACCACAACCGATTTCATTTCAGATTACTACAAGTGACCCCACCATTCACTATCCTCTTCAAAAGTGGGTCGATTTTGCTACGATTCAGCAGCGACTTGCAAATGGAAATTTATGCCATCAGGTTTTTCTCTCGTCAACTCAAGTGGCAACCATATATGGAGCTTCACTGTGTGTCCAGCCCTTTTCGAATCGGTTGCAAACTATTTTTTGTGCTATATTTAGCTGGTGTGGAATCGAAATAGACTGGACGATTTCTATTATTTGAACGACATTCTCAACAATTGGCCTTCCACATCGTGGAACGAAATTGACGAATCCAAAAGTCTGCATGATTGACTATTACAGTCTCAGAACCGACCACAGACACTATTCACATCCACATTCAGCTGCCCGACTTGCATTTTCGCCTCCATTGAAGAAGAATTGTAGAATATTGCGAATTTTCTCTTTGCTGGTGTCCATCTTTCGCCAGCGCTCAAAAACCACTGAGTTAAGTGATCAACACTTCTTCCATTGTATTTTTTAGTACAAAATATCCTCTTTCCAATCCAATCGCACTTAGAAAACGCGAGACACAGATCACTAAAACAAACTATTACAAAAATTGATGGATTACTTTTTATTTGACCTAAACTTTTACTAAAATTTGAGATTTTCTTTTACGTGCTCTCCTTGTCAGTATGGCACTGACAAAAAGAAATTCAGTCAAAGTGCGCGCAGCCTAAGCCGACGTACTTACAGCGCCATCTATCGGTTTATGACATTGACCGCCGTACAGCGCCATCTACTTTTTGATTCTCCATATTATACCAACTTCAATCGTAATAAATATATACAAATATGTGTGTATACGAAATGTAAGCCTACGCATAACGGTATTATTAAACAGAGCAATCTATATACATATGTAAAAGGTGTCTACTTTAAAGCTAACAGATACAGTCAGTCAAAAAAGAATGTACATACATATATTTGTTAACATTGCAGAAGAAAGTTATATCGAAAAAATACCATAGAATAAATTTCAAAAAAAAAAAAAAAAATTAAATCAAGTGTTATATATATTATATGTATATTGGATTCCGAAGATTGAATTTCAAGTATGTGAGAGAGCAAATGGCTAACTGTTTCCTTATACCTCTTCTATTTCACAATTGCCACGTCTTGAAGGCAAATTCTACGCCATTGCGGCTGTAAGTCCATATGTATGTATATACTCTGCCTAGACCCATTTGTTAAGTACTTTCTTCTTAAATGTCTTCCCTGATAATTCCACGCAAGCACTTCGAATTCACCCGTTTTGACAACTTTTCAGCATTTTCTCCTTAATCGAAAATATTTCCTTAGTTAAGGAGTACAGTTTAAAGAGATGTTGAATTGACCGACTAGGAACTTTTCTACAATTATTTAAAAGAAGATAGAATTTACGAAGACCAACTATGCCAAATTGGCAGTCGGTGTCGCTTTCCCTATATCCACGTAGTTGTTCATTAGAGCTCTACAGCCCAGCCTAGTACTTCAGCTCGTAAGTCGCTAGACGCAAAAAGGTGTAAAGATTATTGGAATATACTCCTACCTTCATGGCGCAGTTGATTTTGAACCTCGTCAGTATAGATTGAGATGGTATCTTCCATAGCATTTTTTGTGCCAACAACCAAACTTCATAAGTCTGAGAGCGAAGCAAGCTCGAACGCCTGCACAGACTGCTTTTTGTTTTAACTAAGAACAAGAATTGTCTAATTAAGTTCGGTTTTAGGCTTAGGTTCCACTAAATATTTAATTCATCTTCAATATTTAGCTTTCCGTTTCAGTGTACTTTAGTGGAAAGTATCTCCTAATGAAGGAATATGAAATTGCGGCATTTTCATTTTTCGTTCTTTCCATAAACACCCTGATCGTGGGAGAAATCTGACGAGATCGTCTGCTTATGCTACTACCTTTGCTCTACCCTCGCTGAGTTCAAGTAGTATGCGGCGATAAGACATCTACTTTGGGTGTTTCCCTGCTGGTTGTTATGACCATAATCCGTTCAAAAGTGTATCTGCGAGTAGAGTCTTTCTAGCGCCTTTTGGATGAAAGGAGTTACGTTTAGGGTTATAAAGTTCTTAGCATTATTGTTCCTTCCTCTAACCAGTTTTCGTAAGAAAGCTACAGGAATATGAGAAATTGGAACTTTAGCCTTGTAAAAACTTTTTTGACTTTAAGACCCATCGGATCCGCCGCCTTAAATGGTAAGTGGCTGTTGATAGCGTTGGTAACTTTTTCCAGCTGTCTACTATGACCTCCATAATTCCCTAAACAATTAATAACAATAATAATTTAAGGGACGCAACCAATGTGTTGCCAAAAATGTTGATTTTTGGAATTTTTGTTTAAAGAAAACTTTTTCAATGAATCTTTTACAGTGTCAATGTTATATTTTCTATAATTTAGTTATCTTAACATATTTATTATTATTTTTAAACAGAAATCTTGCAAGCTCGACGAGATATGCGCTATCCCAAAGAGGTCTGAAAATAACAAGTTTCCGTTTTGCTATCATCTTAACCGCCTTCAGTCTAGCTAAAATGAAAAAAAGACAAAAAAAATACCTTAAAAAGAATTGTACGAATTATAAAGTCACCCACGATTGTGGTAAAAAAAATTAAATCCTAAAAAAATGGTGTCAAGTTGAAGAAGAGTTAAAAATTTAGCTCAAAAATCTTGCGGTATTTTCTTTTTTTTCGGAATACTCGTGGGTCACTTTATGCCTCAAATAATGCTGAATGCGATAAAAAAAAATTGTATCTACTCAATCGGATGATTAGTTTCCGAGTTACAAGGGCAACAAATTTCTCACATTTTTTAGATTCACTCAGAAACTATTGAAGCATGTAAAAAATAGATTTTCTGAAAGCTCAGACTGGTTAAGCCCCTTAAAAGATTAATATATAAAAGTTTTCTAATTTTTATATACCAAGAAAAATCAGCCAAAATTGTTAACCAAGATTTTGGCACTTTTCACAAGACATCATTTTAAAAAAGAGTAAAAAGAAAATTGGGAATTCAAGCGAAAATATTTGTATATGTATGTACATATGTATGTGGTTTCAAAATTTTTATGACACTATCATATATGTACACACTTTCTTGACTGACTGTATTTTTACATACATACACGTAACTTGTATACCACAAACATAATGTGTTCCCTAACTTGCAGCTGCGCGTTTTTAAATTAGCCAAATCGTGGCCGACGTTAAATTTGCTCATATCCATCATGGGCCGCACTGTTGGTGCGCTCGGCAACTTAACATTCGTTTTATGTATAATTATCTTCATATTCGCTGTAATGGGAATGCAATTATTCGGGAAAAACTATACAGGTATTAGGAGAAGGACCATTTATGTAATTGAAAAGTTAAAACGTCCAAAAAAAAAAATTTTTCAATTACAAATTAAAAAAAAAAAACAAAAAAAAAAGTTTTAGCATTGCATTTGAAACACCTTTTTGCTACTTTAATTACTAACTTTTTTATGTACATACGTACATTATCACTATTTTTTAATATTGAAATATAATCGAAAAAAAAAAACAACAAACAAATGTATACAATAGAAGATTTTAACAGTAATTAATAATAATTTAACTTCATGAGCATTTCGATATTTTAGCTTGGGCACGTTTTCTTTAAGCTTGTATGTATGTATGTACATGGTAAAATGCTCTTTTTCCAGCAATATTTATAAGGCAATTTGTTTTAAGGATTGTAACAGCTTAAGCTCGCAATTTTCGAATTATTTTCATTGTTAAAAAAATATTTAAAAAATAATGGAAAAATTATTTATAATTAAAACCTCGAAAAAAAATCTTAATTTGGGGAGTTTTTGAAAAAAGAAAAGAAAATTGAAGTAAAAAATAGAAAATTACGCACACAGAAATGTGGTGTTAAGGCAGCGGTCTTACTTTAGAACCCCAAAAAAACTGTTTTCCCAGCCATTTTCTTGAAAGCGATTGAAAGTTCTGCGGTAAACGAAGCTTTCAAACAGTAATGTAGTGTATAATTAGGCATCTTAAGCAAATTTTGCATCAATAAATTTTGGATTTGGCCGAGGTTTTGATGAGTTTTCTGAAGCGGCTGCAGTCTGAACTCGTGAAACGCACCATAAATGCCTGACTATTAACTGAAACAAAACATTTTTGATTTGACAGCTGTCAAAATGCAGCCCTGTACTTTGAAATCACGAAACGGATAACCCTATACAGAGAGTAGTTTACGTTTCGCCAAGCATATGAATGCCCTTCATACATTTGCCTTGAAGGAAATGATAGTAAACATACAAAAATTGGCATTGATTTGGCAGCACTAACGCAACAGTAGGTCGTGCGATGCAACGTACGGCGTACGAATTTTTTTCCTTTTGTCAAATATCTATTATCTTATATATATGAACTAAAAAAACTGAAGAATATTTGGGAAATTCCAAATTTTTTCCAAAAAATTCACTTTTTACAAAAAAAAAAAATTGTTTGAATATTTTTGTCTAACTCATTTATGTAGTTCGAATAGAAGATAATTTAATATTAGAGCAAGATCACTTTGTCTTTTTTCAAACGGACATATAGCCTTTTGCTATCACCTGCGCATAAAAATGAAAACTCCAGAAAACCCGCTTCACAGTTCTGAATCTGCTCTACGCTCGGCCACAAAAACTATTCTATTTTCTAAAATATGTCGAATATGTCGGCCACTGAAATTTTGTAGACATATTCTAGGTTAGGTTGAGAATAGATATATTAAAGGCTACTGTCTTGAGAGATCTTTGCTGTTTTATTTCGACCAAAGAAATTAAGGCGAATTGAAAAAAAGTTTCTGAGTTGTTAAATCGAATAATTGCTCTTTCTTCCATTCGTTTCGCCGTTTTCTACGGGGTTATCCATTTTGCGGCTTCGAAAATAAACTTAAATGAAATGCATTTTTTCTCATGAAACTCCTTTTTTACTCTAAAGTTTAAACCTTGGCATTATATTTATGTCGAACACTGAATCATTCAAATGAACACACGTAATGCATAACCCTGTACATAGAAAATATATATATGTAGTTTTTGTTGCTCCAAACATACGGCAGTCTCCCAAGCATTTTCCTTAAGGGAAATGACAGGAAACTTGCAAATTTTGGCACTGATTTGGCAGCACTAATACAACGGTAGGCTACGAACAGCTGATGTGGGGAAAGCACCAGCAACACTGCATAAATATATGTATATATACGACACACACAATTTTTAATCAACGACTTTTTAACTACTAGACAATTTTAGTAAGGCAACCTTTTTTTTACCAAAAATTAATTTCTTTCGAAAAACATTCAAATATGTGCGTCTATGTATGCGTACATTACCATTATATGTATGCTGCGGTAATATGCAAAAATTATTGTAAAACATAACAAGAAATTATATTCATAAATATTTATATATTAACACTTGCTTAATTTTAATCAAATAAACTATAGAACATTTTATTGATAATTTTCTTACTATTTCAAAATATTTTTTATCTAATGCTTTGCCCGGCTTACAAAAACCAAAAAAAAAACAAAAATTATGCTGTCTGTTGCCATGAAACTTCCGCGGCACCACAAAAATATTTTCAACAATTAAACGCACCATATTCATCGTATGAAAATGCATCGGAAACCATATATATTTTTTTTTTCAAATTATTAAAAAAAAAAATAATAATAATAAATCATTTCTGTAAACGAAATTGATATTTTTGAAAATCAGCTTCGAGTTTTTAAACTTGCCAAATCGTGGCCAACGTTAAATTTACTTATTTCAATTATGGGCCGTACGATGGGTGCATTGGGTAACCTAACGTTTGTCCTTTGCATTATCATCTTCATCTTTGCCGTAATGGGAATGCAACTGTTCGGAAAGAATTACACTGGTAAGTAGTGCGCTCAAGTGAGGCGGCGATTTGCGTTCAATACAAACAAAAAAAAAAAAAAACAAAAAGAAAAAAAATCGTTGTTGTAGGATTAACGTGTTATTGTTGTTCATACGTGTGCACATCGATCATCATTTTACATACATATACATATTATCTCACTATAAATCACATATCGGTGTTATTATATTTATGTATGTATGTATGTGTGTGAACATAAAAAAAAATCACAAAAAATTCAAATTTATTCCTCCTATTATCATTCGAAAGAACAATCTTTGGTATTTATTTTTTGAAGATTATCTCTTTAAAATCTTGGCAGTGGCTACGTATCGCTGTACAAAATTTGGCTCGGAAACGTCGATTCTTCTCGGAAGTGGCCATAGAGTGAAGCGATGTCGCTTGGTAAGGTCAAACGGCTTTAGTTCTTGCAAAGGCTGTATTTTCTACGTTTTCATTTTGAGAATAAGAATAAGAATGCGCCAAGCCGTTCCATACCTCTGTTCGAGTTTACTGCGAACGGCGGCGAATTAACTCTCCACGGCCTTCTTGTACCTCTACTTATACCACGCGTTATATACATACTTATTGTTTTCATTGTATATGGAAAAAAAAATTTGTATTTTTGTTTTCACTCCGCTGCATTATTTTACGAAATAGAAGAATCAGAATCCAACCAAACTGAAAGCAACCAAATGCGCGTAGTTTCCGCCATTTTTTACTGAACTCTATTCATTTTTCTAGACACATTTCGATCAAACTCTGCTACTGCCATTCCTGTGCGCTCTTTGCGACTGTTGGTTATTGCGTAAAAACGTTTTTATTCAAGTGATTTTATTAAAAAATTGCAACTGATTTCCTTGTAAAAATTTTATAAATGACACTTGCTTTTTCTTCTTCTAACTCATTACTCATTCACAATGAGCATTTATCAGTGTTGTATGACGCTCAAATGTGTGAGTTCAATGTATGGGCAATCACCAACGGTTTCAAATAGTTATATTTATAAATTTTGTTTAACATTCTTATTTACAAATAGAGCGCGAAAGCTGGCGAGAAATAATAAATTAAAATGTGATATATATACATATATACATTTTTTCTCAATTTTAAATAATTATAAATTTAAATGCATTAAAGTAAAAAGTTAGTTAAATTTTTTAATAAAAAAATGTTTTGAAAGTGATAATTGTGTTTATTTAAGGAATATGTATATATGTATAAATATAATTTAAAACTTTTTTAAAATGTTTTTACATGCATACATACATAAATTCTTCAAAAAAAATTATTTTAAGTTTCAAGTTCATAAAAAGACATTTTCAAAATGCGAAGTTTCACAAAAAAAAAAAATAATAATAATATTACATATATTCGTGAGTACCGCTATAGTATTCTATGCTTTGTTTTATACAACTTTAAACGCCAATTAATGGAAAATAAAATTCACCATAGACATTTTTTGAGAAAATAAAAATTAATAAAATTTAGAATTGACTATATATGCAATAAAAAAGTTTAAATATGAAAAGGATAATGAATTTTTTATTCTGGTGAGAAAAAATTATTGTCAAAAAAAAAAAATTTTTAAAATTAAAAAAAAAAATATTGAAAAAAAAACCTTATTTTGGCGCTTAGAGTTTAGACCATTACTTGTAGAGGCGTAACAAATGTAAGCTATATTTTTTTAGTATATTTTTTTTCTAGAATTTTACACATACACATACACCGTATGTATGTAAGAAGTGTGCGCATATTTTTTATTCACACTCACATATATTTACTATGTACTTTGGCTATTCCAAGCGTAAATTTTGTATATATTGCTTTTTGCATTTTGTTAACGAATTTCTATTTTCCCTCTCGCTTAATGCGCTTTGGTAATTATTTTCGTTAAATGTTACCTGTATTTAGTTGTTGTTGATTTAAATATTTCTTTTTTAGCTAAATATATTTTGGCATTAATTAAGCATTTGTAATTTATTTTAATCCAATAGACAATCAGGATCGTTTCCCAGATGGTGATTTGCCACGCTGGAATTTCACAGATTTTATGCATTCATTTATGATCGTTTTTCGTGTGCTATGCGGTGAGTGGATCGAGTCTATGTGGGATTGCATGTATGTGGGCGACGTTTCCTGCATACCGTTCTTTTTGGCGACAGTCGTGATTGGAAACTTGGTCGTACGTATGAAAAAAAAACAAAAAAAAAAAAATTAATAAAAAAAATAATAAAAAAAATAATAAAAAAAAATAATAAAAAAAATCTAATATTTATAATAATTATAATAATAATAATAACGAAGTTTGCAGTAAAAAAATTAAAATTAATTATATTAAAAATATTTCTAAATGTTCATAATATAAAAAATGTATTTAACATTATATAAAGCAACTGTATGTATGTATTGAAAATATGTTAATATATTTTTTGTTTCCTTTTTCTTTCAATAACTAAAAAACAAAAAAAAAAAAAAAAACAATTAATAATCTGATATTTTCCCAAACTTCATTCACAGGTTCTTAATCTTTTCTTAGCCTTGCTTTTGTCCAATTTCGGTTCCTCAAGCTTATCAGCGCCCACAGCCGATAATGACACCAACAAAATAGTTGAGGCATTTAATCGAATATCGCGTTTTAAAGCCTGGATAAAGCGTAATTTTGCCAATTGTTTCAATTATATACGTAACAAGTTGACAAATCAAATTAGTGATCAACCATCAGGTGAGAGGACCAACCAGATCAGTTGGATTTGGAGCGAAGGTTTTTATCCACTTGTTTTTTTCCAATAATTGTTCTCTTATTGTATGTACATATATACATGCATATGTATAGAAAGTCGGTGCATATAGAACAGAAGTAAAAATTAGGTGAAAATGTAGAAAATGTCATAAACAATTCAATACTTTAACCGTTATTAAAGGGCCTATAATGCAAATTTTGTTGGAAATGGTAAAGAAAAAAAAAAAAAGAAAACTGAGTTCATCTTAATGGAGTTTGTTGTAACATTTTACTTGTTAGTGTATTACCGTTAGTTTAAGAAAACATCAAAATGTAGTACGAATATTAAAATTAATTTTATACATAATTACACTTTTTAATTTAAATTTAATATTTTTTTATATGTTTTTCTTTTTAACGAAATCATTATCTTTCATAGTCATAGTTTTGAAAGTAGAAAAAATTAATTAACAGATGTCAATCACTTGGTACGAAGTCCGGCCTACAAGGTGGACGCTTAATCACCTCTCAAACAAACTTTTACCGATTGACTGTCGATATGTCTGTGTGTCCTGATGAAACACAATTTCCCCTCTGTTGCTCAAAGCTGAGCGCTTCTGGAATATTACTTCCTTCAGACGGTCCAATTGCCGACTGCGCTGGTCCGAATTAAAAGTTTGACCTTAGAGGAGCAGCGCATAGTGGATGACCTCTAGCCAATACCATCAAACAGCACTCAATAAAATCAATGTTGGATTTGACTGACTGTTTGTGCCGACTCACTGCCCCTTAACCACGACCGTAAGTCGTCCACTGTAAGTGATCCACTTTTCATCATCATCCGCTTCAATGGATCGATTTTGTTACTATTTAGCTGCGATTCGCAACTGGATATTTGTTCCTTGAGGTTTTTCTCCCGTTAACTATGGGATGCTACATAGTCCCCATATCTGAGGGCAATCACTTCACTAAGTGTGAAGTTAGTGGACCTTTGGAGTTGAGAAGTGGCTAATTTCTCGCCATCTTAGTTCGACTGGCATGTCAACACAAAAAATATGACGTAGAAATCTTTCACGCCTAACATTTTTGGAAAGTTGTTATCGAAAAGTCGATAACATTTTGACTTGGGGTAGAGTATGCTTTTTCAACAGGGGCGCCTTTTTTTCATAACACTCATATCATATAAGTCGTTCATTTATACAATATTTTTTAGTATTTATATTTATTTACTTATTGATTTCTCATTATTTATTTAATAACTTATTTATTTATTTTTTTAATTATTAATTTTATTTAACTAATTATTTATTTATACATTTATTTATTTAATTATTTATTTGTTCATTTATTTTATTTTTTATTTATTTGGTTATTTATTTATTTATTTATTCAATTATTCATTAATTAATTTATTTTTTATTTCTTATGATTTATTTGATTATTTGTTTATTTATTTTTTAAGTATTTAGTTATTGATTTATACATTTTTTTATTTAATTATTTATTTATTCTTTTATTTATTTATTTATTGATTCATTTTTTTAATTATTTATTTTATTTATTTAATTATTCATTAATTAATTTATTTTTTATTTCTTATGATATATTTGATTATTTATTTATTTATTTTTTTAATTATTTATTTCATTTATTTAATTATTGATTTTTACATTTTTTAAATATTAATTTTATTTATTTAATTGTTTATTTATTCTTTTATTTATTTATTCATTCATTCTTTTAATTATTTATTCACTTTTTTAATAATTTCTTTATTTTCATTTAATTATTCATCAATTGATTTATTTTTTATTTCTTATGATATATTTGATTATTTGTTTATTTATTTTTTTAATTATTTATTTTATTTATTTAATTATTGATTTATACATTTTTTTAATTTTTAATTTTATTTATCTAATTTATTTCATTTATTTGTTTATCAAGATATTATTTTATTTATTTAGTTATTTAATAATTATATTATATTTCTTTCTTCCTTTATTTACTTATTTATTAATTTAATTATTTATTTATTTATCTATTTAGATATTTATTTATTTGTTTCGTTGTTTAAGAATTTATTTATTTAAAATTATTTATTTAATTAGTTATTTATTTATTTTATTATTTATTTATTTACATATTTATGTATTCCATTATTTATTTATATTTATTTATTTTATTTTTTATCTTTTATCTTTTATATACATTATTAATTAATTTATTTTTTTGGGTTATATTTATTAATTTATTTATATTAATTAATTAATTTAATATATATATTTATATACTTATTTATTTATCTATCTATTAATTTTATTAATTAACATTTTTTTATTTATTTATTTCTATTTATATGTTTATTTAATTACAACAACACACAAATTTATGTATGTATGTATCTATCATAGATGTGTGCAGTAAAAAAACTGCTATATTTATTTACATATACTTACATGTACATGTATTATTTAAAATATTCTTTCGGTCTGTTATAGACATTTTGCAATACGGTAAAAAAAACAACTCAATGAGGCTACATTTTAGTTGTACGAGTTAGTGTAATAATGTTTTTTGGTTAGTAGAGCTCGTATAAAATTATTTCACAAATTAAAAGTAAAATAAAAAACAGTGGATTTTACCCTTCATATTGTTACCTTTTATACATTATTTAAGTATTTTTAGAAATTCCTTCAAAACACGCAAACCTTAACATATACATAACTATATTTCTACAACAAAATTAGATATTATTTTATGTATGTATGTAGTTGTGTCATACAGCTGGCTAGACTACATCGACATCGTTCCCCGAAAGTAAATTGCACGCAATATTTTGAGAATTTCACTGTGAAATACGGCCATATACATACATATGTATATACAAATTTCTGCGATTTTCGGCCGAACTCCTACACTAAATTTGTAAAATTTCCCTTGAATTCAATCACTTTGTAATATGACGCCTACAGAGGGCGCTGAAAAGCAAAATATTTGTCAACATATTTATGTACATACAAATATCGGTCTGCTTTACAGGCCATAAACAATAGCAATACTTACTTACTTTGAAATAATTATTACAATTTTACTATCCAAGAAAAAATAAAACTTAATAAATCTGCTACGAATCACATATGTATATATGTATGCAAAAACATATAGATATTAGGTCAAGTAAAAAGTCATACATTATTTTTGTAACAAATCCAATTTACTTCAAATACATATACACCGTTTTGCACGTTAACTTTTTACCATTTTGAAGTAAATAAAATTCTCAGAGAAACCCTTATCCCTTTTGGCAAAAGACAATAGGACAATAGATTTTCACACTTCGCACGATTCAAATTCTGCAACAGATAAATCCTACGCCATAGAGCGGCACAGATGGTAATCACTTGATGCGTGGTCTGTACCATAGGCTAGTTGTAAAAGAAGCACTCAAGCTAGATCTCGAAGCTTCTGGCGAGTCTCTATCGCTGTTTGTCGTCTGGCATTGTCCTGACGAAAGACAATACCCTTCTTGTTGGATAAAGCTTTGTGCTTCTGGGCGACTACTTACTTTAAACGGTCCAATAGTTGATTGTATAAATCACAATAACTGACCATCATTCGTGGTTTGGAAGCCGTTTTCGCCGGCTCATTGCCCATCGAACACGATTTTTCGTATTCATTTGATGCTACTGTAAGTGTTGTAGTTTTTGTCAGAAAATGATCGATTTTGTGTTCAGACTCAGCAGCGATTCGCAAATGGAAATTCGGGTCGTGAGGTCTTTTTCACGTCAACTCATGTAACACTCATACATCGAGCTGCCTTGTGTATCCAGCCTTTTTCGATGTAGTTCATAACTACATTTTGTGCAATGTTTTGCTCCCCGGCAATCGAAATAGTGCTCGCATGTTGGTCAGACTCGTCAATTTCCATTGTTCTGATGAAAAACACTATTGGGTTGAGTGATCAACATTTCTTTCCGTTTCTTATTTAGCACCAAATATTGTCTTTCTAACGCCAACTAGCGCAATACAAACGCACTTCCAGAACGCGAGATACACCAAAAAGTAATGGATGACCTTTTACTACGTGGACCCAATAAAAACATTGCATACATATGTATGTAGATACAGCGGCGCGTCGTGTCAACACAGCGCACCGGTGTATATATGTAAAAAAAAATACGAAAAAAAATGAGAAATTGAAATGAAATATCAGTTTCGTGGTAATAAGCTGAAACTTTGTTAAATCAGAAGTGATTTTTTACCTGTAAAATTATTTTGTTGTCTAATGGCAGTGATGGCTGGTGTTTCGCTTAACTTGGTGTCGCTTGAGGATCTCGATAATACGTCCGCTGAGTTTAACTGGTAAAAAAAGGGCAATGCCGTAAGAAAAAACAAAATATAAGTTCTTACCGTATGCCATCATGTTAAGAGTTAAATAGAAATATTTTAGGACGGTACGAGATGAAGGGGTAATTTAGGCTTAACGCCTAAACAATACATATATGTTTATATATATATATATTTTTTTTTATTTCTAAAATTCTTTAACATACATTTGAAATTGCAAATATTTTAATTCATGGATCAGCTGTTTTTTGCCGTTCCGCTCAATTCTAGTTATTTGAAAATTATATCGATCATAAGAAAATTAAACCTGTTAGCTTCCTCTAAACACAGGGTGCTGAGAAATGATGAATGATGACAGAGTGGTCAACGTTCATGTAATTTGAAGTGCCATTACGCAAGCACGTAATAAAAAACGCAACGCTTACGTCACCGGGTCGATGTAATCTACCAAGTTATTTTTTTGCATTAATTCAATTTTATTTGTTGGTAGCTAAATACTTTGATGTAATACATGTATATAACACACACTTTTGCTTATATTATATGTATATGCTTTAATAGTTCAAAAAAAAAAAATATAGAAACTTTCAAATATCAAATTTTTTATAAGAAACGCACATTTTATGTTTATTAGAAATTCAGTTTTAAACTTAAATATTTATTTTATAAATACTAGACACAATTAGCGCTTTGTTAAGAACTTATTTCAAATAGCTACATATGTATTTTTAGATGCTAACAATTTCATGTAGTTTTTATTAGAATTTCATTATTCTTTTCCATAAAAATATGCGCTTCGGCCAAGCCGTAGGCTTTGTATATCTTTCATGAACTGGCGTAAAATATTTATTTAAGAAATATCCTTGGCTTTTAAAAGATTGAATAATTATTTAGAACAACCAGCAGTCGTTGTCCGATTTGCAGGCTTTCCGATAATAACTTAATATTAGCGCTTCAGTTATCAAGTTGATTATCGATCAATTATCGATTTAGTACAGAACTACACAAATTCAAGCTTTTGAAAAATTCCAGCAGCAATAATAAAAACTCATTTAACTATTTAAAATTAAGAAAATCAATATTATTTGCAACGAATAATCGGAAATAGTCCAAGTAATCGGTTGAGCCCTCAGCTGTGATTACATTTTTCATCAAGCGAAACAGAAAGTTAGTTTTAGATTGACTGACAGGAACACGTGCGTGACAGTTGACTGAAATGTGTAGTGCTTGACGCTTTGCAGAGGGTAAACAGAGGCAGTTAGTATGGGATTCCACAATTTGTAAGGGATTGCCCTAATCTGAAAAAATGATGAATTAACATTTGAATTTTCTACCACTTAATGTTACTGGAATAGCGGCCTATTCACAATAACACAAAAATATTAATTTAAGAAAATTGCAAAATAGCAACTTTTAAAATTTATAAAGATAGTAGTTTTAAAATTTTACATAAACATAATTTTATATTTGAAATATAAAAAAAGTCATTTAAAAATCTACAAAAATAGCATGTTTTAAATTTACAAAAGTTATATTAAAAAAAATGATTATAATAATATAAAAAAAAGATTATAAAAATAATCTTTAAAAATTTTATAAAAGTAATATTTAAAAAAAAATATAAAAATAATATTAAAAAAAATATAAAAACAATATTAAAAAAAATTTAAAATAATCATAAAAATAACACTTTAAAATAGTATAAAATACTATTTTAAAAAGGTGTAAAATAATATTTAAAAAAATATAAAATTATATTTGAAAAATACTATAAAAATAATATTTAAAAAAATGAAATTAATACTAAAAAAAATATAAAACAATATGAAAAAAAGTATAAAATAATATTAAAAAAACTGTAAAATTGATATTAAAAAATTAAATAAAAATTAAAGTAAAAGACTATATATGTATATAAGTATGTTAAGAAATAAATTTTAAAAATAAATTACAAAAGTTATATATAAAAAAAATTATAAAAATTTTATTCAAAAATAAATAACTAAAATAAAGTTGCAAAAAAATATACATATAAAAAAATTGTAAAAACAATATAAAGAAAAATTATAGAAATAATCTTTAAAAAAAAATTATAAAAAAATTTAAAAAAATAATATAAAAAAATAATGAAAATTATCTTTAAATAAATTATAAAAATAATAATTATACAAAAATTATAAAAGTTAAAGTAAAAAAATATATATGTTTGTTATAAAAAATATATTTAAAAAAAAATAATATTCAAAATATAATAAATAAAATAAAATTGCAAAAGAAAAATATACATATATATATAAAAATATTTAAGGAAATATAAGAGGAAATTTCAATAAACTTAAAAAAATTACAAAAAAATATTAATAAAAACTTATAAAAGTAAGATTTAAAATTTATTATAAAAATGCATTATAATTTAAAAAATTGTGATTATAAAAATTTACAAAATTAATACTAAAAAAACTAAGAAAGTTTAAAAAATACAAAAAAAAAATTTTTCAAACCATAAAAAAAATTTACAAAAAATATAAAAATTATTTTTAAAAAATTTTGCAAAAAATTAAATTAAAAAAAATTATAAAAATAATATTTAAAAACTATTATAAAAATAATATTCAAATATAAATAAATAAAAAAAAATTGCAAAAATAATATTTTAAAAAAATTATAAAACAAAATTATAAAAAAATCCTTAAAAGAATTATAAAAATAAAAAAAAAAATAATAGAAATATAAAATTTCAAATATATCATAAAAATGCATTATAACTGGAAAAATTGTGATTTTAAAAATTTACAGAATTAATAAAAAAAAAACTAATAAAATTTAATAAAATACAAAACAAATTTTTAAATTATAAAAATAAATATTTAAAAAAATTATAAATATAATATTTAAAAAAAAAATTATAAAAGTAATATTAAGAAAAAATATAAAAAATATATTTAAAAAAAAGATTATTAGAAATATAATTAGTATTTCAAAATATTATTTAATTTCAAAGTAAATTACTAGTTCATACTAACAAAACATGAGAAAAACCCAGCCATTTTGGGCTGTTCTCTCATCGATATATGCATGTACTCGTAAGTTAAACACGCTTCTTGCCTCTGCTCACTTACATCAAGCCAAAGTCATATGAATACAATATAATGCCATTTTACGTTCAGGAAAGATATACATATGTATGTAAGTATTTTTGTAATTATGCTCTTCATGTAAACAAATATTTACACATAAACAAACAAACAAAAATAAACGTACCTTCCCATACAAAATTCAATTATATCGTAAAAAATGCTTACTAAATTATAATAATTAAAAAAAAAAAAATTATTTGTAATTTTTTTGACAAACCAAATTATGCTGCATTAAAAATTTGCCATCATCAATTGGATATACTACATGCATACATATGTACGTGCACAATTTGTTGCATCTGTTCGTTTGTTATCGATTACCACCATTCGTCATACGCTTTTCACTTTTAATATATGCAAAAAAAAAACAAAAATGAAAAAAAAATTAAAATATATTTATTGCTGATCAAACGCTTATAAAAAAAAAAAAACAAAAAAAAAAAACAAAAAAAAACATCGCTCGCAAAATTATAATACACCACATTTGTAACGCTTGAACTACATGAATTAAAATGAATTGAAATGAAAACTATGAAAATGGATACGAAGGCAAAGGGGTTTGTCGTTGTATATCTACAGAGCACGGTGACAATGAGCTGGAGCTATGCCAAGATGAAATTATTGCCGATGGCCTGATCAAGAAGGGTATTAAGGAGCAAAATCAGTTGGAAGTAGCAATTGGTGATGGCATGGAATTTACAATACATGGCGATATGAAAAACAACAAGCCGAAAAAATCAAAATATCTGAATAATGCAACGGTAGGAAGACGTTGATTTTTTATTTTTATTTATTTTTTAATTATATTTTTTTATATTTTTAACATATTTTTTTGATCAAATATTGAGTATTTCTATATACATAAATGCATATTAAGAATTATAGGTATATATGTATATGCATATGTAGGTGTGTAGTTGGAAGAATACACAAATTTCATAAAAATTCTTTTCAGTTTCGTAGACACACTGTGTCCTGCTAGATAGAGTGTATAACGATTGTTTTAGAAATTTTCGAAACGAATTAAAAGTTAAAAAAAAAAAATATTTTCAATTAAATTAAGCAAATTTCTTGTACTTCTTGTAATTTTTTTTTTTGTTTAAATATAAAAAAATCAATTTTCACATTATTTGAAGTTCGCGGGAGCTGCCAGTGTCTATATTTGCTCGCCCATCATTCACAATGGTGCAACAATTAAATAGTTTTTCTTTTGGACCGAACATAAATTATTGGAAAAATTGCGACAATTTTTATTAAAATATAATGTCTTTATAGCATTTAGTTAAAAACAATAATAATAATGATATATATATTTTTTTTTAAATTTGACTGAAATTTCCTCAACATTTCGATGTTTAAAGAGAATTTCCCATAGTTTCAGTGTTTCATTCACAATAGCATTTTATTTATACTGAATATTATTTTACATTTTATTATTATTATTCTCCTTTTTATATTTAACAAACCGTTTTTTTTTGTAACAAAAACAATTTATGCCTGCTAAATTTCTCTTATATATTCATCATATTAATCACGCTGCCCATATTCACAGATGATTGGCAACTCAATTAACCACCAAGACAATAGACTGGAACACGAGCTAAACCATAGAGGTTTGTCCTTACAGGACGACGACACTGCCAGCATTAACTCATATGGTAGCCATAAAAATCGACCATTCAAAGATGAAAGTCACAAAGGTAGTGCGGAAACAATGGAGGGTGAGGAGAAACGTGATGTTAGTAAAGAAGATCTCGGTCTTGATGAAGAACTTGATGAGGATGGTGAATGTGATGAGGGTGCACTCGATGGTGATATTATAATACAAGCAAATGAAACCGATATATTGGATGAATATCCAGCTGACTGTTGTCCCGATTCGTATTATAAGAAATTTCCAATATTAGCTGGTGATGAAGATTCGCCATTTTGGCAAGGCTGGGGCAATCTACGACTGAAAACCTTTCAATTAATTGAAAATAAATACTTTGAAACAGCTGTTATCACTATGATTTTAATGAGTAGCTTAGCTTTGGTACGTATAAGTTGGTGGGAATTATTTATTATTATTATTGTATTATTAGATATTGTTATTGCTATTTTGTAATTAATGAAATGCATAGCAGTAATTATCGTTAATTTTTAATATTATTTTCACATTTTATTTTTACTTGCATTAATTGCATACCCAATTTCATCATTCGTAAGATATATATTTATATATTTTAAACTTTTTGCTTGTATATAATTTTTTTTTTCAGTTTATATAATTTTATTTTTTGTTTATTTTTCATTAAATTCCTTTTAAGTTAATAATTTTTTTTTATTTTATTTAATTTATTATTTTTTCATTTTTTAATTTTTTATTTTTTAATTTTTTAATTTATTATTACTTATTTTTTATTTATTCTTTTATTATATTTATTTTAATTATTTTTTACATTTTATTTTTGCTTGCATTAATTGCATACCCAATTTCATCATTCGTAAGATATATATTTATATATTTTAAACTTTTTGCTTGTATATAATTTTTTTTTCAGTTTATATAATTTTATTTTTTGTTTATTTTCCATTAAATTCCTTTTAAGTTATATAATTTTTTTTATTTTATTTAATTTATTATTTTTTCATTTTTTAATTTATTATTATTTATTTTTTATTTCTTCTTTTATTATATTTATTTTAATTATTTTTTACATTTTATTTTTGCTTGCATTAATTGCATACCCAATTTCATCATTCGTAAGATATATATTTATATATTTTAAACTTTTTGCTTGTATATAATTTTTTTTTCAGTTTATATAATTTTATTTTTTGTTTATTTTCCATTAAATTCCTTTTAAGTTATATAATTTTTTTTATTTTATTTAATTTATTATTTTTTCATTTTTTAATTTATTATTATTTATTTTTTATTTCTTCTTTTATTATATTTATTTTAATTATTTTTTGAATTTTATTTTCACTTGCATTAATTGCATACCCAATTTCTTCATTCGTGCGATTTACATTTTTAAAAAGTTTTTTTTTGTATATAATTTTTTTTCAGTTTATATAATTTTATTATTTGTTTATTTTTAATAAAATTTTTTTTGAGTTATGTAATTTTTTTCTTTCATTTTATTTATTATTTTTTCATTTTTTAATTTTTTATTTTTGAATTTTTTAATTTATTATTATATTTTTTATTTTTTATTTATTCTTTTATTATATTTATTTGATTTTTTTCACATTTTATTTTCACTTGCTTTAATTGCATACATAATTTCTTCATTTGTGCGTTATATGTTTTTTTTTGTATTTTTTTAGTATATAGATCTTTTTTTATTTTATATAATTTTATTTTTTGTTTCTTTTCTTAATTAATTTTTTTAAATTATATAATTTTTTTTATTTTATTTTCTTTTTTTTAGTTTATTTTTTATTATTATTATTTTTTTTTTTAATTTATTATTATTTATTTTTTATTTAATTTTTTTTTTCAATTTATTATTATTGTTTTTGTTTGTTAATTTCTTAACGTCTTTGCCGTGCGGCAAGTGTGTATTAATAAAATAATATCTTATTTTTTCATTAAATCCCCTATATTAAACTCTTATAGGCTTTAGAAGACGTCCACCTTCCGCAGCGACCCATACTGCAAGATATCCTTTATTATATGGACAGAATTTTTACGGTTATATTTTTCTTAGAAATGTTAATCAAATGGTTAGCTCTTGGCTTCAAGGTTTACTTCACGAATGCATGGTGTTGGCTTGATTTCGTCATTGTAATGGTAAGTGAGCTCGTTTTCCGATTATATAATATTATTTATTTATTAAAAAAAAAACAAAAAAACAACAACAAGGAATGAAAAACTGCTAATTATCAGAAATTTTAAATGCTTACTTATAAAAGAATTCCCCCAAAAAAAAAAAAATGAAAAAATACTACAAAAGAAACATGTATAACAAATATACATATATACAATCTAACTCTTACCAACGACGCCAACCAATGACGGACGAATACACAACGACTGTACGTACAATCGAAACTGATTGAAATTGCACAGCAAAAAATGTATTAAAATTTATTATTATATATTTTTGTTTTCAATATTTTTGTATTAGTTGTGCTTTAAAATGTATGTTATGTATTATTATATTCATATTTTAGTTTATTAGGATTCTTTTTTAGGACTTTATTATGTTTAAAAACAAAACAAAAAACAACAACAACAACAAAAGTAATCATAATAAATTAAAAGAAAAAAAATAGTATTAGCATTTTAGTTAAACTCCTTAAAACCGTCGTAGAGCTTCAGTTACCATATTTGTACATACATATCTACTTGCATAAATAATAATAATAATAACAATGAATATAATAATAATAATAACGATAATAATAGTAGTAGGTAGTAGAGCATAATTTTAATTTTCTTCTATGTACAACAAACTGTTTAGTATATAATTAAATGTAATTATTTTTACGCTACTCCTACATACATATGTACACAACCATATATTAATACATATAATGCGCTAATTGACTGTATGCTAAAATTAGCTCTCCCTCATCAATTTGGCCGCCGTTTGGTCCGGTGCCGATGATGTTCCGGCATTTCGCTCAATGCGCACGTTACGCGCCCTTCGACCGCTACGTGCGGTATCCCGTTGGGAGGGTATGAAAGTAAGTAGTTGTGCTGTAGTATGCATTCCAAAACAAAAACAAAAAACCAAAAAAAAAAAACAATGCTTTCGTACTACGCCTAATTCAGTGTTGTGCTGCAACATGTTCTTCTTCGTGTTCAACTCTAACTTTTAACTAACTTACTTGCTGTGTACTTCAAACTTGTATATGTATGTATTGTTATGTATAATAAATCGATATAAATAGCTATATATGTAAATGCATACATATATGTATACATACATACGTAACAATATATAAAACATAAATAAAATACATATATGTACATATGTACAAAATAATAATACGAACGAACGTTTTATGTATGTATGTAAAAGTCATCAAAAAAGGTATGCGCCAGTGTTGGAGCAGCGTTAGAATTGTTTTAAAATATTATTGATTTATTATTAACAAAAAACTTTCAATGCAAAAACTCCGAGAACACATCTCTTTTATATTATTTAAACACAAAACCGCATATTCAACTAAAGGGTGATGAATTTCGGGTTTCCCTATTTAAAACGAAAATAGACAAAAACTTCAAATTTATTCCCCATTACTAATATGAATCGATAGAACATTCTTTGGCATTTATTTTTTGAAAATATATATTGGTTGCGGCTACGTCTCAGCTGGTCTAACCGTTGCGTCCACAATTTTCGATGACTCGTTCGAGCATTTCGACTGTTAACACACCAAACCGTTGTTTTTTCTATATGAAATGATAGCTCTTGAATCTCTTCAGTACCGAGGAGCAACCGAATGCAGCAATATAGCTTACATATATACATTGAGACGGAATGTGTCTCATTCCTGAACAAAGTTTGGCTTGAAAACGTCGGTTCTTCAACTTTTCAAGTGCCCATACGGCGAAGCGATGTTGCTTGAGAAGGACGAATGGCTTTAGTTCTTGCACAATCTGTATTTGGTACGCTTTGCTGCGAACGGCGTCGAATCGACTCTTCACGAGCTTCGTGTACGTACACTCTCATCAACGGCCGCTAAATTTACTTCATTGCTTGCTGGGCGTAGTCAATTCGGTCGAATATTATCCAATAACGAATGCTGGGTCGCCAGATGGGTGATGGTTTTGAGTATAGCACGCTCAGTAGGTAGGTGGGTCTATATTGACCATAAGTTGTGCGAAATGCGTGAATTTTCGTAATAAACTTTCGTAAACGTTGTTCTGACGTTGGTCTTTTAATGATGAAATGCCAAACAATAGAAAACAAAAATTACCTGACAGCTTGACATGACTCACGCGTGATCTGTCCAAAAAACGGCTATTGAAAAACATAATTTCACTGGGATAACCCGTTTGCAAGCAACTTCATGAGACCTTGGCAGATGAGACACCTTTTTTTTATATTTAAATGCAAGTTAAGTGAAAACAGACCGAATGAGGTTTAAATTACAACACAGAATTAAATTTAAATACATTTAATTAGTAAGGCAAAACGAAATTTACTTTGAAAAATATATTTTAAGTTAAAATTACGTTTAGAGGCGACCATCTTACGTTATAGCGCATTGATCTACCAAACATAAAGTTTTCATTGTGAATGGCAATAAGCGTGCTAAAAAGAAGAAGCATCAAATAGAAAGAAAATCCAAATTGCGGAAAACGAAGTGTTTTTTTTCATTTATAACATAATTTAATAGTCAAAACGTTTTTAAATTTATATTGTTTTTTATTGAAAAGCCGCCTAAAGGGGTAAGGTGCACATAAACTCCCATAGGAGTGAGGCACATTATTATGTATTATGCAAACAAAGCGAACGAGGCAGCAGCCGACAAGCTCGATGCTTTCGTGTGTTGGAATTCAATTTAAATTAATATTTTACGACTTTCATGCTAATTTCTTTTGCGCTTTTGACTATGCTAAACGTAAATTTATGTATTGTACATACATACGTAGAGCTGCTGCACACTGGCGCATACAATGAAGAAAATAAGAGGAAAATAAATTAATACAAACATAAGCATATTAATGTATGTACATACATGCATATTTATACATAAATTGATATATAATATGCATCTAAATGAAAATTTACATATGTATGCGTAGGTATAAAAACACCTATGTTTGTGTATGCTATGTATACATATATGGCCAATTACCTACTATCAAACGTCTATATCTAAATTTAAATAAATTTCACCAATACAAATTGTGAATAGGTAAAAATAACTATTATATGAAATTAGAAAATGCATAATTTTCCATTTAAGGCTTCCTATGAGGGAAAAATTTAAACTTGTACATAACAACTGTTTTTTTTTTTTTTTTTTTTTAACCTGATGATGTGAGACGTTTTTCAAGGCGTAAAATTCTCTGAAACAATGAAATTTCAATTCGAATAATTTAATATTATTTTTTTTCTACTAACCGTAACTAATGTAACTGTAAATGCTCTGTGTCACTATCACGTCAAAATGTATATGGGCTTTTGTTGTATTCTTATGTAACCTATATACATACATATGTATATGTATATTGAAAATCGTATAATATAATACATACATATATGTATACATATGTATGTATATATTTCTCTACATATGTTTTTCTAAACGCATAACTAGTGTGCTCCAGTCATCATTCTAACTAATTATGTAACTACTATTTCAATTGTAATGTTAGCTGCTAAATCGTCTACTCTTTCACGTACATATCGTATGTATGTATGTACATATGTATTTTCCAATTGAATCAATTTTTTTTTTGTTTTGTTTATTGTTTGGTGTTGTTATTAAATACATATACATATATATATATATATATAAACGTGAGTGTGAAACATGAAATTGTATATGTATAATACGTACATATGTATTAAGTTTAAGATATTATAATTAAAAAAAAAATTATTATTTATGTATGTACAGTCATGTATTAAATGTGAAATTATTACACCTTACAGCCAGCTTTAAATACGAAAAAAATATAGTTTAGAAAATTACAAAAAAAAAAACAAAAAAAAAATTTAAAATATCCCACTAGTGCGCTAGCTAGTTTAATATTGTTTGCCATTTTAAAGTGTTCTTATTAAAGGCATACCTAACGATTTAGCTAGTTAGTCGTCAGCTGAGCGTTTCCCCTTTACACCACCGGCACTTATTTAAGAAGCAAGAAAAAAGCAGCATTTTTGCACAAATTAAATAAATAGTTTAGTTGAAATTTCGTTTTATAGCTATAGAAAGCAACAGAAAAAACTGTTAGTTTTAGCCATGAAATAGTACAACGAGATGCCTTAGTGTTCATGTTCTATATACCATACATACATATAATAGATAACGCATATATTATATAAGTAATTTTAAAAGCATCAAATGGTTAAATAAAAACCAGAAAAAAAATTTTATTGAAAAAAAAATATATATAGTTGTCTAATGTTAATAGTTTATAGTGTAATCAGCTGTAATAAAAAGTAGTACAATGCCTTGGCTCAAATTAAAATAGTACATAGTACATACGTATGTACATATCTATTACGAAAATTAACGGGTCTTAGTAGAAAATGCTTACATAACCCAAGTAATCCTACCAAACCTTTGCTGTAGATAAAATAGCCAAAACGTGCCGCTCTCTCTTTAGCATAAATATGTATATCATTAATAATTAAATTAACCCTCTCACAACACATTACTTAAACCCGAACGAAAAAAAAAACTAAAATAAAATAAAATAATTATTTTCATTTAATCCAAAGCGCAGCGCAAATACTCTTTGCACCTGAGCAAAATGCAAAAAATCCACAAAATCCTAAAAATCCACAAAAAAAAATAGAAACAAGAAACTTTTAAGTAAACCAAATCCACTGTATTAAATTAATTACACTACTACAGCCACTTCTTCCTCTCTTCTTGCTCTCTTAACTATTGTAATTCTAAATCCTTTTCATTTAGTAAATAGTACAGAGTGTGTAGCAAACCTCGCCAACAGTATGACTTTGAAAAATTCAAAAAAAAAAATAAAAAATAAAGTAAATAAACAAAAAATTCCGTCCATACCATATATGTATATAGTACACACATACTCGTACATATGTATACATTTAGTGGCGTACTACAACTACAATACATAAATACTTTCCTATTAATATCCCACCTTTACTTGATTCATATCAAGTCAAATAATATATATACATATACATACATACAACATGTAAATATGTAGGTATTTCCGAAGCATAAGCACTTCTTCTTTGCCTACGCAGTGGTGGCAGTGTTTTACTTAAAAGAATATTCATCATTTTAAAAAAATGAAAGCCAAAAAGGAAATCAAAATCTACTCTCAGAATCGCTTGGTCTTGGTCTAAGGTTGCTTAATTTGCCTTTTTAAATACATATATGTATGTATACATATGTATTTATTCCACTATTTTATTGTATACTGCATTAAGTGATTAACATCACTTCTCCATTGAGTCTGGCAGCAAAGTTAGAGCAGAAATTTGTCGGTATTCAGACAAAGCCAGCCTAGTTTTCCTTACCGTTTACAACAATAATAACCATAACCAGCAGCAGCAGCAGCAACAACAACAAGAAGAACAAAACCCACAAACTCCACAATAGACAAACGCAATGCAATATGTGTATATGCATACATGCATACATATATACATATGTACATGCCCATTAGATTTGTGTTTAAATTTATAGAAAATCTACAAAAAAAAAAAAAAAAAAAAAAAAAAAAAAAACACTGTACAACAGTAGTGTGTCCATTATTGAGTCCACCTTAATACCCCCCAAATCAAACACACATACATATATATATATATATATTATATATACATAAAAACATATGTATTTTTATATAAAACCTGCAATATGCTAGCCAAGTAGCTTCTTTCGAATAAAAAAAAAATTTGTCATTTGCGTTTGATCATTGTGGAGTTCAACAAAAGAAACTCCCCTCTCTCTTCCCTCCCTCTCTTTCTCTCTCTCTCTCTCTCTCTCTCTCTCTCTCTAGCAAAAAAGAGAAAAAAATTATTAAATCAAAAAAAGGCCTCAAAATATGTTTCAATAAATAATTCTTCTAGCTTATGAGCGCATTGAAGGGGTGATGCTGGTCTAGAATTTTGAAAAAATCTAATAAATAATAAATAATTTTTTTTTTGTCTTAAAATATGCTTTAAGGTCTTAGCAATGGCATACCAAAAGCTGAATACCGGCAAAAATGTCTAGATGGCCAAATTTTGCATTCGGCGGCAGTGTCTCGCTGGTAAGCGCCGAGCGCCAGTTAAACTTGACATTAAACGCGTTTTCTCGAAATCATTTTTTTTTTATTTGGTCGAAGACATAACTACAACAATTCTTCACGAATTCTTACGACGATTTGTGCGACAGTAAACTTGAAATATCGTTCTCCAGAGACGTACGTTGTTTTTTTTTAAACAACAATTTTATGGCGTTTTTTTTTTTATTAGAAAAGTAGGCATCTTCGGAGAAATGTTGCACAGCGGCCATTTTGAAATTAATTCGCAAGCAAATTTATTAAACCTATTTTACAGATTTTCGATTGATTTCTTTGTTGAGTGAAAAAAAAATCATTTTTTGCGCTCTAGACCAGTTGTCACACCCCCCCCCCCCTAAAGATATATGAAGCGTGCAAATTAGACAATTATGTATGTATAAATGTTTGTTCAAAAAAAAAAAAATAAATAAATAAACTATGCTAACCGTTACAACAGTTTGAGCACAAAGGCATCACGAAAAGGCGCAGCTGAGTTTAGGCATAATTAAATTTTTTTTTTGTTTTTTTGTTTTACTATATATCAAAACAATAACAAATTATGTAAACACTTCCGAATGCTTGGGTCAGGACATTTTAGGTCAAACAATGTTTGTATTTATTAGAATATAAATTAAAATATTTTTTGCGCAAGACTGAAGAACAAAAAAAAAAAAATATATATATATACGATTATCTAATAAATAAATACTAAATCTAAATTCATATGTGCGTGAGGTATGCGTGTGAGGGGATTTTTCTATTTAAAATTACTTTTATAAACAACTAAGAAAACTAAAACTTCGTTTTCACATTTTCTTTAAAAGTTTTATTAATTAATTTTTAATTATTTTTTACTTATATATAACTTTTGGATATTTATTTTTTTTTTATTTTTTTTATAAATTTTTTTCGTTGTCTTCCTTTGCTTAACTTCTATATTGTATTGTTAGAATTTCTTGTTTTTTTTTTTTTTTTTTTGAAATTCAGTTGACATATGAAGTGACAGTTCGCATAACACCAACTTTGGAAAACACTAAGCAAAAAAAAAAATTAAATATATTATATATAAAAACTTCAATATACCAAAGCATACAAAAAATCACTATGCCACAAGCCACAGAATCTATATTTGAAATTAAAAAAAAATTATATATATATACATATATATATATACACATACCACTGCCGTACAAAAAAAAAAAATAAATAAATAAAAATTAAAAAAAAAATTAAAAACAAAAACAAAAACCATGAAAAGCATATTTGTTTATAATGACTTTCGAAAAACCGGTACTAGGTGTCGCTTATCAACTTCGTTGCTTCACTTGCTGGAGCTGGTGGTATTCAAGCCTTCAAGACTATGCGAACGTTAAGAGCACTGAGACCACTACGTGCCATGTCCCGAATGCAGGGCATGAGGGTACGTACTTTCACAATCATATAATACTCTCTTTAATAATGCAACCGTTATACTATATTCGTTCAAATTCAATGAAACCCAAACAAAGAAAAAAAAATACCAAAAAAAAAACATTAAAACAATAAATCAGTATCATTCAACAGTTTCTTTTTTTTTTTTGCAAAGCATCATAAACGTTAGCTGAATAATTCATTATTTAATTGATTAACATACGCGACTGTTTGTTTGTTTGATTGTTATGGTTTTAGTTTGAACAAAAATAAGAAAAAAAACTATTTAATCATAGTAAAGTTTTAGATTAGTAGTGGTTTGATCGAAAGCTGTGTTTTCTTCTTTTCTTTTGCCCTTTTGTTTAATTTTTTTTTTTTTTTTTTTTTTTGTAATTCCATTTTTAATTAAACAAAAGTAATAATTCAATTTTCACATACAAACGCATTAGCAATATACATACATATACAGATATCTATATATGTATACAAAAAAACCAAATATATTTGAAATATATGTATACACATATTTATATACATATGTATTACTGCACATTTCATGCAGTGAAAAGCATACAAACATACCACATGCATATGTATGTATATCATCACTTTAAAAATATAGCATTACCACGCACCATTAAACATATTTACATAAAACACACACATGTAATATCCCAAAAAAAAAAAAATAGTAAAATATATATATATATTTAGAAAAAGTTAAAAGCACTTAACAATACCACGGCAAGTTCTTCCACAAACCAAACTACAGTCCAAGCAAGTTTAAGCAGATTAAAAAGAAAAGAAAAAAAAAACATTACCAATTAGAAATTTCACATTGACCATTTACGCAACTAGTTTTATTTATAACAATAGCATTTAACAAATATTTTTAATTTTTAACATAAAGAATTTACGTATTTTTTTTTTTTTTTTTGCTTAACCCAAAAAATCATATTTGCATGTAAGCTACATACATACACATGTATGTTCGGCTATTCATTTGCACCCGATTTGCTAATCAAGATATTGCTGTTCATCGTATTATATAGAAAACAACAACAAATATAAGTTAACTAAACTAATATATAAGCTAATAACCTAAGTATGACGCGAAAAGTACTGCAACTCTCAAATTAATAGTTGTTGTTTCACATGCGAACCGTAAGCAAACACGTGCTCAATTGAAATAACGAAAAGAGCGCGCTTGAAAAATCACCTTATGCGCGCGTCTCAACTATCGTTTATGGCGTCGGTGCCTATAAAAGGTGATCGATTCGAGGTTTCCTCATTTTTTGAAGAAAAAAACACAGAAAATCAAAGTCGCTAAAGCGATATTTATGGTTTTGCATCTTGCTGTTTTTCCAACAAATGGAGGGACCTACAGACCTAAAGTTTATACTAAGCCGCCTCCGAACGGCTGATGGTTTTTTATGAGAAAATACACTCGGAGTGATTGACATTCCCCGTCATCCCATTCAAATTTATTCTCCAATATTAATATCACTCCAAAGAACTTTCTTTGGCATTTATCTTTTGAAGTTTATCGCTTTCAAATTTTGGCCGTGGCTACGTCTCATATAGCCACAAGTTTCGATGACTCGTTCGCGCACTTCGACTGTTAACTGGTGAATGACACGCACGATATTTTGCTCCGAGACCTGAAATGAAGCGACATAAGACACATAGACATAAGACTTTACATATCCCCTTTCCTGTGGGTCTAATAGTGTAATATCACCTGATCTTGATGGACAATAGACCGGCTCAAAACGTGAAATTATCTGCTCACCGAAGTTTGCTCTCAATAAATGCTTTGATTAATGCAATGTGTGGGAACCAAATGTTGCCGAGTTCACGTGCTTTAATTTTAGGCATCGAATAGTCGGTTATCATTGCGCAATAACGTTCTCATCAGCATCATATCTGCAGAAATATGGACTAATGATTGCATCGGCCTACAAAACACACATAACCATTGATTTTTTCTGAATGAAATGACATCTCTTGAATCTCTGCAAGGACGAAGAGCAACCAGAGCAGCAATTTTGCTTAATTGCATATCCATTAAGCCTGAAATGGATCCGAAACCTCGGTTCTTCTTGCAACTTTGCAGCTTGAGAAGGTCGAGTGGCTTCAAGTGAGGCAAAAGTTGTATTTTGTACGCTTTCAATTTAAGATCTCGACATAAAATGCGACAAGTCGTTTCATACCGCAGGTACGAATTGCTGCAAACGGCGCCAAATTGACTTTTCACGAGCTTCGTGTACGTACACTCTCAGCTACGGTCGCTAAATTTACTTCATTGCTTGCTGGGCGTAGTCAATTCGGTCGAATATTATCCAATAACGAATGCTGGGTCTCAAGATGGGTGATGGTTTTGAGTATAGCACGCTCAGTAGGTGGATTAGTTGATTATAAGTTGAGCGAAATGCGTGAATTTTCGTAATAAAGTTTCGTAAACGTTGTTCTAACATAAGGCTTTTCATGATGAAATGCCAAACAATAGTAAAAACATATTACATGACAGCTTCACACGACTCACGCCTGATCTATTGCAAAAAACTATTGAAAAAAAGTAATTTTACTTGAATCACCCGTTGCTTGCCTTTTTCGTGATATTTTTGCATTGACTTCTTTAAAAAAAAAATAAATAAAATAAAAATATATAAAAAAATTGCCTATACCACTTTTGTATTTTAACTGACGTTTGCTTGCTCTTCGCTGAACGCATTATTCATTCACAATAAGCAATCGCTAGCGCTTTCAGAGTTGTATTGGTTAATATGATGTAATTTTGCTGGCATGAGTTTGCCAGGTAAGGGATTTTCTTTGCAAATAATAATTACTTCAACAATTTTTCTTTGTTGTACAACAAAAATATTTCATTTATACAAACAAACTAGGCCTTAAGCGTACTAAAAAATTATAAAAAAAAAATATTTCAAAATTTTAAGTCATTTTAAATTAAATAATTATTTATTAATTAAAAAAAGTTTATAGGATAAAAACATTTATCTTGTTTATCTCACATTATATACAGCAGATAACATATTTTTTCGCAAAAAAAACTGAAATAAATTTTAAGCAGCGTAGCGTCGTTTTTATGGTGTCGGGTGCAAATGAATGCTACAAAAAATACTTCGATAACACATTTTTTGTTTTTTGTATTATCGATTTAATTTTTTTTTATTATTTATCAATTATTTGTTGAATTTCTCAGCTAAATATGAAGTATTTATGCATGGAGTGTAATGAACTTAATACATACTTACTTACACAATTAAGTGCTGAAATGTATGAACTTTCTTGCTTGAAATTAGTTTATTAGCGTAATGAAAATTTGTATATGTATAAACATACGTATAAATATGTATAAACATTTTTAGGGTTATAAATTTAAGCAACATCCAAACATGTTCTGGCATGCACATATTTTACAATTATTATATCAAAATGTATGTATATTTTGTGTGTGTTGATATTATATATGTATGCGCATATGTTTTATGTAAAATATTTGCTTATTATAAATGCCGCATGAAAATTCAATTGCTTTAATTGTACTGTTTTATTTAATGTTATTTTATTATGCAAAAAAATTTTTTTTTTTTTGCTATACATACTAGCATATACCCAGTATGTAAGTATGTAAATATTGCATGTTTTCGTCTTGAACTCTTTGAAAATGTCCTAAATATATTAAAATATCTTTCAATAAAATTATTCATCTATCGTTACTAACGAATTTCTATAAATGTATATTGAACATTTTTTTTTAGTAACAAACCAAAATTCTAATATTAAAATCTGTTTAAATTTATATTTATTCTCCCGCCATGTTTCCCAACACACTATTTTCCAAATCGAATTTACATACATATGCATATGTACATTTGAACTTCATGAATACATACATGCATATGTAACAAAAAAAAAAAAAAATAAAAATAAAAATAAAAAATAAAAATAAAAAAAAAAATATATATATATATATTTACAACTGGATATATGTATGTACTCACCACAACACCACATCAAAATCCCACTCATCAAACATACTCGTTAAACGTTTTACTTTTCGACGATAAATGCAATCTCTATCATTTGATATCATTGCTTGCAACAACAACAACAACATCTCATGTTACGCAAAATGACGGTGACGGCGTAACTACAAAATTAATCGATTTTATTGCTGTCATCGTTTCGACAACGAACAGGTCGTCGTGAATGCATTGGTTCAAGCTATACCGTCCATCTTTAATGTGCTATTGGTGTGTCTAATATTTTGGCTAATTTTTGCCATAATGGGTGTACAGCTTTTTGCTGGAAAATATTTTAAGGTACGTTGAAAACTAATTTGAAACAAAAAACAAAACAAAACAAAAAAAAAAACAAAAAANATAATGGGTGTACAGCTTTTTGCTGGAAAATATTTTAAGGTACGTTGAAAACTAATTTGAAACAAAAAACAAAACAAAACAAAAAAAAAAAAAAAAAAAAAAAAAAAAAAAAAAAAAAAAAAAAAAAAAAAAAATATGGCAATATTGAAAACTGAAAATTAGCATTTTTTTTTAATTTGATTATTTTCTAAAACGAAACAAAAAAATCAACTTGTTGGCGATTTTCGAAGTCACCAAGTTGATTTACAACATCATGTTATGCATGTTTGTGCAAATACAAGAAGAAGAAGAAGCAAACTATTTGTAAATAATATTGTAACGAACAACAAAAAAAACGAATTATTGATTCATTTAAAAATTGTTGGAATTCAAAAAAAAAAAAACAAGGAAATTTAAGCTTAGTGAGAGAGCGTATCTTTACATCTATTTTTCGTAAATAGTTGGTAATCAAAAGAGTATAAAAATTTCTGAACAAAAGTCAAATTTTAGCATAAAATTATTTGTTAAATTTGCACAATTATTTAACAAATAATTACGAAGCAATTCATTAATATTAATAATAATGAATGATAATACGCATACTAACCGCAGGCAATTCACTTTATCTCACTTTTGTAAATATTAATGCGTATTCATACTTAGCAAACAGAAAAAAGTTAAAAAAAAAATAAAAATAAATTAATAAAAACTTTTCTAGAAAATTCATTTACAAGTTCTACTTGTTACATATGTAATTGTAAAAAATAATACTCTCTAAAAATCAATGCAGTTATTAGTTAGAAAATATAAGCAAAATCATATAGAATTTAAAATTTCTGCACTTTGCTTAAAAAACAGAAAATTTAGTTTATAGCGCACAAACAATTAGTTTATATTTCTTTCACTAAAACCGAGTTTAATTAGCACAGAAATTCGTCGAATTTCAATTTAGTCAAAAATTGCATATAAACTCTATTTATTTATCCATTTATACATGCATATGTGTCAGTGATGTGCACTAAAATAGAAAAAAACAGGAGGCTCAACACTGAAAAAAATTATGCGCAAAAGAATTAAAGTAAAAGTTTAAAAATAATAAAAAAAAAATATATATATATATTATAAAATTTTGTAGTTTTTATATTTTTTTAAATTTAAATAAAAATGATTAGAAGTAAAGAAATGTGTTAAATTTTTATTTAACATTTTGTAAGAACCAAATATATTTATTTTAATTAATTGCTGAAAAGAAATATTAAAAGAACGGTTTATTTATTTTTGAGCAATGTTTGTTATTTTTACACAATTCATTTGTTTTTTTTTTCATTTTTTCTTTTACTTAGTTATTCTTGTTTAATTTTTATTTAATATTTTGTAAAATATTATTTATTTAATTTAGCTTTACACAGTTTAGATATTTCTGCTTGTGTTCTTTTCTAATTTTTCAGTTTAGTTATTTTGAATTAATTTTAATTTTCTTTAATGGTTTTTCCATTATGTAATTTTTTTATCATATTTAATTTTCCACAGCTTAGATAATTTTGTTTGAATTTATTATAAAACTTTTTCAAAGTTTACTTATTTAAAATTTTTTTTTTATAATTTTTTTTTTATTTTTCACTTATTATTTATCATATTTAATTTTTCACAGTTAAGTTACATTTGATTTAATTTTTCACTGTTTAGATATTTTTGTTTGAATTTATTTTAAAACTTTTTAAAAATTTACTTATTTTTAATATTTTTTTTTAATTTTTTATATTTTATTTTTCTCTTATTATTTATCATATTTAATTTTTCACAGCTTAGATAATTTTGTTTGAATTTATTTTAAAATTTTTTCAAAGTTTGCTTATTTTTAATTAATATTGATTTTCTTTGATGGTTTAGCTACTTTTACTTTTTTATTAATTTTTTCTTATTTTGCACTTTTTATTCGTCATATTTAATTTTTCAAGGTCTAATTACATACAATTATTATTTTTTTTTAATTTTTTCACAATTTGTTAATATTTGCAAATTTTTATAACTCTTCGCCGTTTAGTAGTGTTTGTTAAATTTTTGTTTGGTTTTCACAGTTTGTTGATTGAAAATTTTTTCTTTTCATTTCTGCCATCTGATTTATTTTTATGAATTTATTTTTCTTTAATTTTTGACATTTTTGCCAACTCTTCAATTAATATTTTTGTAATATTTTCCCCGCTAAATTATTTTCCTTTAAACATTTTTAATTTTTCACAGTGTATTAAGATTAAGATAGCGCAGCAGTGTAAGTATTTTACAGAGAGCCGCTATTTCATACATCACTGATACATATGTACATTTACGAGTAAAATAGGGTTATTAGTTATACGGCGCAAAGGAGTTTTAAGTTTAAAAATTGTAAAAAAATCCAAATTTTTTATAAATAATTATACATAAATTTTTAATGAAATATGAGTTTTTTTACACAACGATAATGCGGGCAACGCCCAAAAAAGTGTTCGTCGTTGCTGCTTCTTTGTCTCTTCTAAAGATATGGCACGGCCAGCGAAAATCGCAAAAATGATTAACTATTGAAATTTTTTTTTTTGTAATGTCATACTTATTTAATTTTATTATTAAAAAAAAAAAACATTTTAGTTATTAGCAGATTTCGTATAAAAATGTGTAAAAAATTGGTATTCATCACTCACCATGGGCAGCATATTTTCTTTGTTATACTCAATTAACTAATTAAGCGCCTATGTGAAAAATGTTTTCCTTCTTTTTTTTTAGTTACAAGTGATTGACAAATTTTACAAGCAAAAATTAGTACTCATTTCTTTATTGACATTTTTTTCCATCGCTAGCTTATTGCTGAAATATACTCATTTAACAAATTGAGTGGCTGTGTGAACATGTTGACCGTTTTTTAATCAATTGTAAGCAATATATATAAACTTTTTCGAGTCAAAAGTTTTATTTAGTTTAATTATTTAGCAACTTAATTTCTAAAATTAATTTTTAATTAACTAATTTATGGCCTTCGTGCACAACATTTTTGTGCTTTTTATTTAACTATAATTTGTCTGTGATGTCTTAAATAAGGATTAGTTTTTTTTCTTTAATAATTTTGAATGTTGAATCACACTCAATTAACTAATCGGGCGTCTGTGTGAATTGTTCATATTTATTTTTTAATCATTTGTGAGTGATGTTACTTATGATACTGATGTATTTAAACAAGAATTTAGGCTTAGGTTTTAATAAATTGTTTGACAATTAGCAGCTTAATAGCTGAAGTTTACTCAATTAGTTAATTGTGTGCTTATGTGAACAGCTTTAATTTATTTAATCAATAATAAGTGACGTACATTTTTTTGTTTTGTATGCAAAGTAAAAACTTAGCTCAGTTTTTCTGCAATGAGCTACTTAATAGTTAAAGATCACTCAATTAGCCAGTTGAGTGTCTGTGTGTCGAGTTTATTTAATTTTTAATTACTTGCAAGTATTGTATAATTTTAAAAGCAAGAATATGCGCCTATATTTTTATAAGCAATATGACAGTCAGCAGCTTAGTTACTGTAATATGAGCTCAATTAGTTGATTGAGTGCTTGTGAGAACAGTTTCAAATATTTTAATAAATTGTAAGTGTGTACAACACTCTGATGTTAACCAGAAGTTTTTAATTTCTGATTAATTATATTAACTAGCTAAACTGCCAACTTGCCGAAATACACTCAATTAACTGATTGAGTGGCTGTGAGAACAGTATAAGCATTTTTTTAATGTTATTATTTTCCTAATTTTTTTGGAAAATTGTAAAAAAAATTGAAGTGCATAAAATTGTAGCTCAAAAATCGAAATAGGCATAACGACGAACACTTTTGAAAAATTTAAAAAAGACCAATAATGGTTTCTTTAACTGAAATCCTTTGCGCCGCAACACACAAATAACCCAGTTATGCAAAAGGTTCAGCAATGCATAGTTTATTAAAAAAAAAATAATTATTTGTATATTTGCATGTATATATTGTACTACTATTTAATATTGAAATAATACAATTTACTTACTTACATATATATATGTATATATATTTATATTTACATATCTGCTTATTACTTGTCTTACCAACTGCCTAGTGTGAAGATCAAAACGGTACTAAACTCAGTCACGAAATCATACCAAACCGCAATGCCTGCGAGAGCGAAAACTACACTTGGGTAAATTCAGCTATGAATTTTGATCATGTAGGTAATGCGTATCTGTGCCTTTTCCAAGTGGCCACGTTTAAAGGCTGGATACCGATCATGAACGATGCAATTGATTCACGTGAGGTAATTGAAAATTGTTGCGATCTAATTACATTACATTACATTGCATATGTATACATACATTCATACATACATATGTATGTGCAATAAAAATAAAATAAAAAAAATGTATATATTTATATTTACATATATGTACATATATGCATATAATTTCTATAAACTTTTATATAATTTTCTTTTTTTTTTTGTGAATTTAGAAAATACTAATATAAATTTTTTTCTTTTTTCTTTCCCGTTAACAACAAAAAAAAAAAATAATAATTAACGTCAAATACAAAAAAAAAACACATATACAAAACTAACTTCTGAACATAACAACAAACAAATACCGTTACACTGCTCCCCGTTCCAACTATATATGTATATGCACGTCCAAAACAAACATGCAACGAAACAAAAAAAAAATCATCAATTAAAATAACCAACTATAAACATATTAACAACAACAACGTTAAAAAATCTCTATATATATATATACATATCTATTTAACTACATACTACATACAACTAACAACAAATATATATATATTTACAAATATATATATATGCGAATGTATTAATTAATAACACCACCAACACCACCACCACCACAACCACCATGATCAAATACAATTTTAATACACACCTACACATATGGCAAACAACGTTTAATAAATAAATACATAACCACCTACATACATAACTACTACATATAAATAACAAATGAACGCACGTCTGCCCCAACAACAGGTGGGCAAGCAACCAATCCGTGAAACGAATATCTACATGTATTTATATTTCGTATTCTTCATTATATTTGGATCATTTTTCACACTCAATCTGTTCATTGGTGTTATCATTGATAATTTTAACGAGCAAAAGAAAAAAGCAGGTGGATCATTAGAAATGTTCATGACAGAAGATCAGAAAAAGTACTATAATGCTATGAAAAAGATGGGCTCTAAAAAACCATTAAAAGCCATTCCTAGACCGAGGGTAAGGCTTATACAATTTCTTATTTTTTTTTTTTTTTTTTTTTATGTGTGTGTGATTATCACACAAATGCAATGCATTTGTATATAATAATATGAATGATGATGGGTCGATAAATGCAAGCGAAAAAAAAAATTATTTACTTAAATCTGTGCCAATTGTTAATACTTTTTTCCAAGTTACGCGTTTTATTGTGATTTTTTGTTTCGCTCATTTTTTTTTTGTTTTATTTTTTTTCTTAATTTATTTAACCAAATTTTTTTTTAACTTATTTCTTACAACAAACAGTACGTCTTCAATTAAAAAACATAAACTGATGACGTCACTGTAATTAAAAAAATATATAATAATAATAATGAATAAATAAATAAATAAAAATTAAATAACACCAGTGAGGGCCCAGCTATATATCTAGCAATATTTTCGAAATATCAGCACCGCCAGGCAACGGGTGCATGAGCGCGCGCGTGCATTAGCCGCCGCGTTAAGTGGTCGAATTGTATACTAATACATGCATACACGCATAGTTGAAGCGAGAACGCAAACGAACACAAAAGAAAAACATTCAAAAAGTTATGCTATTCTTCCACTGTCAATAAAGTTGCTTGAAAAAAATGTACATACATACATATGTACACATTTTATGTATATTCAATTCATATATGCCATACATACAGCAGCAACATCCGTTATGAGGTTGTCTGTCCTTAAACATTTTTATGTCTGCCAAACAAAAAAAAAAAAAAACAAAAATAAAAAAAAAAAATACTAAAAAAATACACAACAAAATTTAATGTTAAGAAAAAAGTTTTCTTATAGTTATTTATATATATATTTAAAAAAAAAAATATATGTATTTAACGAATTTGCATGCACGGCAAATTCATGGCAAAAATATACAAAATCTCTCTCTCTCTCTCTCTCTCTCTCTCTCTATGTACAAGCATGTGTACCACCACCAACACTTACAAAAATATGTATGTCTTCTCAAAGAATAAAACAATAGTAGATGATTGCTGATGTACGATATATACATACTTATATGCATATGTATTATGTAACACATTCCTGTTTGCATGTTTTCTCAAAGAATTTAACACCAAGTAAACCGAAAAAAAAATTAAAAAATTCAAACAATATTAAAACAAAAAATAAAAATAAAAAAATAAAAAATAAATTCAGAAATCATAACGAAATAATAAAAAATGTGTATAAAATCAGAAAAAAAATTTAAAAAATATTTAAAGTAGAATTAAAAAATCATACATTTTTTCATATGGCCAAAAATTAAAAAAGAAGTGAAACACAATTCAAAATATCTAAAGAAATAATCAGAAAAGTGAATAGATACAGAAATTATAAAGCAAAAAATTATGAAAAAATTTAAAATGGAATCAGAAAAACATATATATAACATATTTTTTTTTTTATTCCAAAATTTTAAAGAGATAATAAAAAAAGTGAAATAATTCAGAAATTATAAAAAAAAAAAAACAAATAAAAAATAAGGAAAAAAATCAAATTAATTTAAAATAGAATTATTTAAAATAGAATTAAATTTAAAATGGAATTAAAAAAATTAAAACTTCTTTTAAAAATCAAAAAATTCGAACAAATATTAAAAAAAAATCCATAAATACAAAGAAATACTCTAAAAAGTGCAATGATCCAATAAAAAAAAAATTATTATAATTATAATTAAAATAAAAATAATTTAAAATGGAATCATTTAAAAAAATCAAATTTAAACTGGAATTTAAAAATTTATAATTTGTTTTAAATTCCAAAAAATTCGAACAAATATTAAAAAAAATCCACAACTACAAAAAAATACTATAAATTGTGAAATAATCCATTAAAAAAAATAATATATAAAATTAGAGATATAAAAAATTAGACATAATTTAAAATGGAATTATTTAAAAAAAATTAAATTTAAACTGGAATTTAAAAATTTATATCTTGTTTTAAATTTCAAAAAATCCAAACAAACATTAAGAAAAGTTCAAAAATTACAAATAAATAAAAAAATATAATTAAATAAATATAAAAAATAGTATTTAAAAATATTACTAAAATATTCTGAAAATTTTTTTATATTGAAAATGCAATTATTTAAAAAAATTCAATTTTAACTGGAATTAAACAAATTTATAATTTCCTTTTAAATACCAAAGCATCAAAAATATTAAAAAAAAAACAAAAAATTTATAGAAATAATCAAAAGAGTGAAATAAACCGGTATAAAAAATAGTATTAAAAAATTACGAAACATATTCAAAGTTATTTAAAATGGATTTATTTAAAAAAAAATAATTTGAACTGAAATTAAATACATTTATAATTTCTGTTACTTACAAGAACATCAAAAATATTAAAAAAAAAAACCCTAAAAATTTATAGAAATGATAAAAATGGAAAAAAACTGACATTATGAACACATAGTAAATAAAAAATTATGAAAAATTTCAAAAAAAAAATTAAAACAGAACTAAAAATACATACATTTTTTTTGATATCCCAAAATATTCATATATTTTAGAGAAATAGTGAAAAAATTAAAAAAAGCAGAAAATTAAAACAAGACTATGGAACAATTAATGAAAAGTTTTAAAAAAAATTAAAAAAGCATTAAAAAAATTAATTTTTTTAAATTTCTAAATAAGCAAAAATGAAATATTTCCAGTATTTACAAAATCTTTAAAGACATAATAAAATAGTTAAAAAATCCAGTAACTATAAAAAATAATATAAAAAAATAATATTATAAAAAAATAATGAATAAAAATTTAAATCAAAAAAACTAAGTTTTTTTTTAATCCAAAAATTAAAAAAAAAAAAAGATTTTAATGTTAATTAAATGGATTAAATATGTAAAATAAATTCAAAATATATCTAAAAATAATAATAAAAATATCGATTTCAAAATAAAAATTTATAAACATTTTACTTTATTGAACACACGTTTATTCATAATTCTCACTGCTAGTCCTAATTTTCATTTCTCTTTCTCTCTCTCTCTCTTTAAATAACACATACATACATATATAAGCACGTTTCTTTTTGTTTATAAATTCCCCCAACCACAAATAATTATTAAAAAAAAAAAACAACAAATTTCTCATATATAAACAATATCAAATCTTCTACCCTTCTAAATTGCACGGAGATTTATAATTTTTGTTTTTCCACAAATAATTTTAGATTTTTTTATTTATACTTAGCATAAAAATGTTTAACAATTTTTCCCAGAATATGCAGCACTCAAATGCATAATGCAAATAATTAGTTATTTTTCGACAATTTTCTTTCGTATGAAGAAGTACTTGAGAAAAAAGTTGCTTTTGGCACAGATTAATAATACAACAACAAGAAAACAAAAGCAAATACCTAGAAATGATGAAAGTTTTATTTAAAAAAAAAAAAAGCATGATATCGTAACCACAAAAAAATAGCGTGATAAAATTTTTTTTTTGTAATAATTAAAGAAAAAACGAAAACAGATATATATATATATACGCTTTAAAAACGCTTATATATACAACAAAAAAAAAAACATACACATGTATGTGCGTAAAGCAAATAAAAAAAAAAAGAAAAAAACAAACAGAAAGAAAAAAATTTGTTTTCTTAAAATTTTTTTTCTTTCAAAATGTTTATGAAACAAAGAAACCGAAACAGAAATCATTATTACCATATTTCTCTCTTCTTTTCTCTATTACAGTGGCGTCCACAAGCAATAGTATTTGAAATAGTTACAGATAAAAAATTCGATATAATAATTATGTTATTTATTGGCCTGAATATGTTTACCATGACACTCGATCGTTACGATGCGTCCGAAACATATAACGCTGTCTTAGACTATCTAAATGCGATATTCGTAGTTATTTTCAGTTCCGAATGTCTATTAAAAATATTCGCTTTACGGTATCACTATTTTATAGAGCCATGGAATTTATTTGATGTAGTAGTTGTCATTTTATCCATCTTAGGTAAGTAAAAGCCACAAAAAAGCCAAAAGAGTCTGGTAATTTTTGTGTTTATCTTTTCGTCTCTTGTGTAAATTGATTTTCCTTGTGAAAATTCGTAAATTTGTTATTGTTGAATTTGAAAAGTTTTATAAAGTTGGAAAAAAAAGCAAATAATATAAATATATATATATGCTATTATTATTTTTTTTTTAATGTAAATGTTTAAATATGTAAAACTATACATATACATATATGGTAAATTGTCCGTTGTCCGTATACATATGTGTATATATGTGCGTATAATCGTTCTATTGTAATACCTATTGGCGTATATCGTTTTGTAATTATTATTGTTTTTGTGTTGTAAAGTTGTAAATTTTTCTGCTTTTGTGTTCATATTATTGAAAAGTATTATTAAAAAAAAAAATTAAAAAAATTATTACTAAAAAGTACTATTGTACAGAAAGCTAAATGTTGTGCTTAAGTATTATTCCTCATAGTGTTTTCATCCAGTTTACTGTTTACTGTTATTTATTTTGGTATTTTTTTTTTTTTTTTGGTATTTCATTTGTTGCTTTAAAAATATGCCCCTTAGCATATACTCCTACGTGAATACATATAAATATGTATATAACGATTTTTTTTTATTAAATTGCGCTTTAAACATCTGCTTTTCAATTAAGTTGTAATCGAAAAACAAATCATAATTTGTTGTATTTGTATGTGTTTACATTATCCGCGCTTTTTTTAACCTTGTACTCAAATTGTTGTTGTTTAGTTGTATTTGTAAAAAATGTGCTTAAACAAATAACAAAACGTTAAAATGTGTATTTGTTTTCTGTTATATACATCAGATTTAATTGTTGCAATATATACATATATATTTTTTTAATATGAAATTTTTTTTTGCAAAATAAATTTTTTGGTAGTTATTATTATGTTTCTGCTAACAAGCTGGTATTCGCTATTATTTATTGCATTTGGTTTGTAAAAAAAAGTCTTTCAATTATATTTAAGCAGAGATTGAAAATAACTGTTAACATTTTTAACGAGTTTGCGGTAAAAAAAAAATCATTAAACAAATATGTAAAAAGCTGTTATTGCCAAAGGAAAATAATAATTTTAATATTTATCGCCTTTTTATTTAATATTTTCTTGTCTTTTTTTTTTGTCAAAAAGAAAATAAGTAATTTTAATTTAAATTCAAATTTGAAAAACAGTCTGTTGTAACAATTATTATAAAAATACAAATTTAAAAATTTTGCACTTATAATTATTTTGTATAGAATTTTTTTTTTATAATTTTCTTTAAGATTGATAATGAAAATGACTTAATAAATGTGCCTAAAATTATTGAAAACCCAATATTTAATAAAAAGAAAAATGTTTAAATAAGTTTTTTGAAGGTTTATCATAAAAGTAATTAAATAATAATTCAATTGGAATATTAATCACAAAAAAAAACTGCTTCAAGATTGTTTCTCCCCACAGATCGGTGTAGCAATATTTATATACAAAAAATAATAATAATTTGAAAATATGGCACTTATAATTATTTTGATGTCTCAAACTAAATGAAATTTAAAAATCGTATTGAAAAAAGATTTATAAATAAATTATAGATTTTTAAAAGTCGATATGGCATATATTATTTTAGTTTTTTTCCCGGCGAAAATTAATTTTCCAGTATTTCCTTATGATGCTCTCAAAAAGCGATAATAAAATTTTCGAAAATTGTTTAAAAAAGCGATATTTCATTAAAAATGTGTGTACTTAATTTTTTTCTGAGATATTTTAATAAAAATAACTAATTATTAATTCAATTGGAAAGTTAAAATTTGAAAAAAAAAATTTATATATATTTTTTCATATACAATATTAAGTTTATTTTTTTAATATTTTAACTCTGATAAAATCGAGTTTGATAATAAAAATTACTAAATAAAATTTCAAAAACGGTAAAACTAATATTTGCAGTAACAGTTTCAGTATTTGATCATAGAAAATTTGTTTACAGAAAAAAAGAATGAATTAATTATTGTTTTGAAATATAAAAAAAAAGTTTTGAAAATATTTTTTTTTATTAATTTTTGAAATATTTCTTTTTCAATAACTTTTTGGAAACAATTTTTCCTAAAGTATGTTTTATATTTGAAAATAAATGTTTTTTATTATTAATAACTGGCAACTGGCATAGTTTTTTTATTATTAAAAAAATGCAGTGTTTTTTTGTGAAAATGTGTTAATAATAGTTAACAAAGGTTATTAAACTCAAAATTTAAATATTTTCAAAACTATGAACTGTGGGTATAATTTCCAATGCTTTATTTGAAAATTAACAACAAAACGACTCTTTTTCTAGCTAAAAATTAGTAAAAAAATATTATTGTATATTTCAAGTTTCACATTGAAATTTCAAAACTCACCACCAAAAGTCACCAGCAAGAAAATTAATGAAAAAAAAATTATAAGCAAGAGTTTGAGTATAAAAAAGAATCAATTTATTTTAAATTTTCTTTGTAAAAAATGTTGACTGTCTTTTTAAGTTTTCATTTTAATTGGAAAATAATTATAATATTAAAAACATTTATATAAATGAAGGGCAAGTAAGAACTAGCTAAATTCAAGTTTTACTACTCTAAGTAGGCTTAAATACACTTGAGAATAATTTGATTTGTAGTTATCCGAAAGTTCACGGTAAGAGAAAGTATTTAAATACTTTATTTTCGCTCTCCGCTTAGATATTTTATCACTATTTTTATATTTATTTAATTTTTTTTTAATATTATTTTTTTATTTTAAGTTTTTTTTTATCCTTAATATATATTTATTTTGCTCATGAATTTACTACCTACATATATACGTAAGCACAAACAATCAAACGCCTACTTTTTACAATTATTAAAAAATGCATTAAAATTGCTTAAAAATTAATTATGGCTTAAACTGTCGGCATAAAACGGCAACTCAACAAGAATAAAAATAAAAACTTCAATAGCAGAAAATTAAAAAAAAAAAAAACAAAAAAAAAATGAATTAAAAAAACACTATTAAATGGAGTTTACTACTACTGAAGATGGCTTAAAATATGCTTTACTACATTACCAAAATAAATAAATAAAACAAAAAATAGAAAACTACTTTTTCATAAATTTTACGCAATTAAGACAATTTTACTCAATGTAGAGCTCTTATATGCATTCTTATGGAAGAGTTGATTTTCTTTATGCTATAAAATGGTACCTTTTTTCAATATTTTCTAACTTCATAGTTATGTAGCTCTGCTCGTATTTAGGACCCTAAAATAATAGAAGAAGAAAAAAAAACAAAACAAAACAAACAAACCAATAATATTTTTGCTTAATTGAAAATCATAAGCGTGCTTCTTTTATCAGTTTTCAATAGTAACTGCATACATATATATATATGTATATGTATTTTCGCGCATTTTTTTCGTACTACTTACATACACTTTTAAAAAACGACTTAATTGTACGTGCTATGTAACACATTTGTAAGCATTTTTTACGTCCAAATAGCTTCAACAGCATTCACATACATATTAATTGGCTTATATGTTGTGGTATATACTAAAAACCGTTTTAATTTGCTAGCTTTAAAAGCTTAAATAGCTTCAACAGCCTTACTAACTGCTTAATGCCATAGAAAACCTAAAAAAAAAGCGCAAAAATAAAAAAAAAACCAAAAAAATATGCATACTTTGGCGATTTCGAAAATTTCCTTAAAAACATACATATATGTGTCCTTGCATTATAGTAAATATAAAATAAATATATTTTAAAATTTTTTTTTTTTTTTTCAAATTTTACGCGTGAAATTCCGCAGCTCGACACTTTGTTCTCATGTTAGCTCAGGCATAGTAAGAAAAGTGGTGAAGCAAATTAATTAATTAAAAATGTAATAAAAAATCTGAAAAATAGATACAAATTAACAGTCTTTTCTCCACTAAAGCAGCATACCATTTATATGTATGTATTGTAATTTAAAGCAGTCAATGAAGAAGCAAAGTGATATCAATAGTCGAATATATTAATATACTAAGAGTTATGAATTGAATTTTGAGCATATATATCTAAAGCGTATGGAAATGACGAAAACAGCTCGAATCTCCGATAGACAGCAATGACTATCATATCATACCGCGTTATAAACTGCTATAAACTATGTTATAAGTTGTGTTAAAACTAAACACAGATTCAGCCAGAGATATCAATAAATTTGGTCTATTGTATACCTCTGTTTGCTGTTTGCCCCAAAAACAAAATTTTTCGACTAAAAAAAGTGTCAAAACTTTTCTTAAGTCACAATGGCATTGCAAATTGCATCTAAAGTGGCATAGAATAATACTAGATATTTTTTATATATATTCAATATATGTTTTTTTTTTTATAGATACATACAAACACTATAGATATTTGCCGATGCAGTATAGCCAGTAGCAATGACTATCTTGTAATGCACCATAATAGGGTGTACTGCAAATATGGGGCATTAGCTGAATCATATTAATGGTTTTTGTCCATTTTGTCGATGGGAATTATGTACTTTACTATGAACGCAAGTCGCTGCACAAGCCAAACAAATTCACCTAGTGTCAGTAGTTTGCGTAATAAACGACAAGCGTTAGTGGTTAGAGCGTTATAGTACAAATAATGAATAGATGTATGTAAAAATTTTTTTTATTAAAAAAAAATTAAAAAAAAAAGTTAATAAATAAAAGAATAATAAAAAGTCGCAAAATAAACCAAAAATCAAAACCAATAATAAGATATACAAAATTAATATAAGAGAATAATATTAAATAAAAATAAATAATTAATAGAAAAATTAATGAAAAATGGAAACCCAAAAACCGGCAATAAAAAATATAAGACATAAAATATACCTAAACTTAATATAAAAGAATATAATTGAGTAAAACAAAATAAAAATTTTAAGTTTTGTAAAAAAAATTAATTTTATTGCAAAACAAAAGCCAAAAATATATAAAATAAAAATAA